TGGCCTCAGATTTGGACGACCTGGAGCAGAGTCAACAACAGTCAGGTTGACTATTGCAACAACACATCATCAGTAGGGTAAAACGAACCTGTCTCACGACGGTCTAATCCCCACTCATGTTCCCTATGAGTGGGTGAACAATCCAGTGCTTGGTGAATTCTGCTTCACAATGATAGGAAGAGCCGACATCGTAGGATAAAAAAACGAAGTTGCCATGAACGATTGGCTGCCACAAGCCAGTTATCCCTGTGGTAACTTTTCTGACACCTCCTGATTAAAACCCAAAAAATAAGGAGGATCGTGAGTTATTACATGGGGCCGCCACCTTGTGGGCCCACCATCTGCAGGGACTAGCATCATGGTCGGGTGCATTGTGTGCCGGGTGGCAGGCAGGGGCAGGGCCCCGGGCATGCTGATTCCTGGCGTTGTGGACTGGCTGTTATCAATCAGATACAATAATGTAATCAAAACAAAATTAATAAAAGACAATCAGTCAATTCTTTACCTATCTCTACGCTGTTGCTCTTTTACTCATGACCTCCTTGGACTCTGAAGAATAAGGCTGGAAGTAAAAATACAAAGAGTCAAAAAAATCTCAGTAATCAATAACAGCAACTCGCTTAGGGGACTGAGTGCGAACAGGATGAGCTCAAGCACTCTTGGTCGTCCCATCTCATCAGGCTCTGGTTCGTCTCAGTCCATGGCATCAGCAAAGTTCTGCTCAGTTGATGTCTCGTTCTCAGATTGAAAAACTTTGTCCAGCTCCCGTTCTCGTTCAGAGCCCCAGCAATCTATCAGGAGATGTGCACTTTTCTAAAACCTTGACTTTTTATACCTTTTTCTCCATCCCTACATGGACATCCTTCATCAAATCCCCTCCTTTACTGCCCCTAAATGAATATCCTAAATTAGATCATTGGAGAGCACAAAGCTAGCACGAGGAGAGTCACAGATGGTGTGTTCACCTTTGCTATGATAAACAAGCGCTAAGTGACGGAAACTTGGTGTCCTTTCCTAAAAGTTGAGTACATAAGGTCATAACCCCAGCAGCCCTGGTCATGAACCGATGTTTTGCTGAGCTTAGCTAATCTGTTAATGAAACCATTTATTTTAAGGTACTTCCCATTTTCTCCAGCCATCTGTGCCTACTCAGCAGTCTGACTACTTTCCACCGATCCTTTCATTTACCTATTTATCCAATACACACACAAATCATTAGTTCATGTTAAATCTGTTCACAATAAACTTTTACAATTATCATAAAGTTCACTCTTAAACATTTCTGTATAAAATCAACAAAAGTTCGATATAAATTTTACAGAATGAACAATAAATCACACATCACATTATACCATTTCTATACAAATACTTTTAGCTTTTTAAATCTTTTTTTCGATTGAATCCCCATCTCCTCTTACTGCTGTTCTCCTGTGGTGGTTCCTCTTCTCCTCTGGGTCCTGACTCTGCCTGTGATGGTGACAAGTCACTTATGGGTGACATGCAGGTCATGTAGTCGATAATAAGTTCTGGTTCCTCCTCCTCCTTTTTCTTCTGCTGGATCGTCAGTGGTAGAATGGGCTTGTTGGGGTTCTTCTTCATTAGGTTCTAATGCTTGGCTAACATTAGCTTAACAGCTAAGCGTTAGCATAACAGTTAAGCTTTAGCAGGCTAATGCTTGGTCAACGTTAGCTTAACACAGGGGTGTCAAACTCATTTTATTCAGCCATATTTGATCTCAAGTTGACCGGACCAATAAAATAACTGTAGAATAATCTAGAAATAAAAACAACCTTGACATTTTTCCTTTTCATTTAGTGTAAAGAATTACAAGTACATTTTAAAAACATTTATTTATTTATTAAGAGATGATGAACAGCCTGCTATATCTTAAGGAAAAAGTGCTATTTCAACAATATGCCTCAGTTTTTCCACATTAAGTAGGTCTATGACTTGCTGTCATTACATTTTTCCATACATTTCCACTGTTTTGTAGTAATGCTGGCATCACCAGCAAACTAAAGTGGAAGTTATTGAAGAAGGTTAAGTTATCTGCACATCCCAAACCATTTACATATCAACTTTTCGCGGTACGAGGAGGAGGAGCTGTAGGATTCCACCAAAAGCGTCTCAAAATATTAGTCTGGTAAAACTCAGAAGCAGCATTTTACATGAAGTAGGATGCTCATTTAACTTGCTCCTGAAAGCTGCACCTACCGTGCGTTCACACCGGACGCGAGTGAAGCGAATTACACGCGCGTGACGCGAGTAACGCGCCGCCCGTAACGCCCGAGTTTGGACGCCTAACCATTTTGTTCATTCGCGTCATTCGCGCGAGTAGCGGGGAAGCCGGCTGTGCTAACCGGAACTAAGCTAGTGCTAACGTTCATAGTACAACCATTCTGCAAACTAATTAAACACACATATTTACAGAACTTACCAAGTAGACCAGTCTCCTCGGCAACTTTCACCAAAGCCTGCTCCTTTTTGTTGCGGTCTCTGCAGAGTAGACACGTAGTATCATATAGCTCCGGGTAGCTGCACACCGCAATAATAAGTTTCTCCTTCATCTCGGCATCAAAAACTGGACATCGGGGCGTCAAGACGTCACTGACGACCATGGCAAGATAACCACCATCGCTGCTTTGTTGTTTACCTCCTCTGGAAGTCCCAGATGCGTCGGAGGGCCAAACGCCGTCGTTTTTGGGTTCACCCTATCCTGCAGAAGCGCATCCAGCTCGGAGAATTACACCACCTCCTCCAGGAACTCCGTCTGGATGATAGCCGCTTTCAGCAGTACTTCAGGCTGACTGGGGCCCAGTTTGAGGACCGGTTGGCGAGGGTTGGTGCCAGGATCTCCCGGCAGGACACCAACTACAACCGCTCTATTTCAGCTGCAGAGCGCCTGTCCATCTGTCTCCAGTGAGTAGCAGTTTATTGTTGTTGACACACGCCAGTGACGTCGGGAGAATCTCAACGCTGATTGGCTTTCGCGGCACAGCGTCACGCGAATTAGCCTCAAAAGTTAAATATTTTCAACTCGAGCGATGAGGAGTTGGACGCGAATTTCGCGTCTATCGCGCCGCGCTGAACGGCTCTATCACGTCGCGCTAGACGCGTCCATCGCGCCGCCCGGCGCGAATTCGCGTCTAATCGCGTCTTTGCATTGACTTTGTATGTAATCTTGACGTGCGAATTCGCAAATTCGCGTTTGGTGTGAACGCAGCTTTAGCCTTTACAACAGCTTTAATATTAGATGTGCAAAGTCATCCAGTGGGCCTGATTGGACCCTTTGACGGGCCAGTTTTGGCCTTCAGGCCATATGTTTGACACCCCTGGCTTAACAGCTAAGCGTTAGAAGGCTGGGTCCATGTCATTGGTCCGCGGTGCTGAACGGCTCGCGGCGGGCATATGGTGCGCCGCAACCGGCTTGAGGCGAAGCAGGCTCACGGCTTTTGTGTTTATCACTTTCTTTTTCATTTTAACCCACACCATGATCTTTTCCTAACCCTAACCCTAACCAAGTGGTTTTTGTGCCTAAACCTAACCAGACCTTAACCACAGGGCATCATGATGATTTCGGAACGGACTTCGGAACAATGAGTTTAATATGGCCGGAACAATGGGATGTCGAACCAATGGGCTGTCAAACCAATGGGCAGTTCCCAGCAGGCTAATGCTTGGGTAACATTAGCTTAACTGCTGACCATTAGTAGGCTAATGTACGTCTAATGTTAGCTTAAGAGCTAAACGTTAGCAGGCTAATGCTTGGCTAACAGTAGCTTAACAGCTCAGTAACTTAACAAACTCGTCAGTAACAATAATAATAATAATACAAACTTTAAAAAGCATATGAATCTTTAAATGCAATTGTTGTTGAATGACATTACATTCAGTGAAGAGTGCATAATGGCTTGTTAAGGACTCAAAACTTTAAGTTTAGGACTTGGGACTTTAGGGCAACAACTTGAGACTTATGCTGTGTTTAAGCGACAAGGAACAACGCAACAGCATGACCACAAACATATGATTGGAAAAGATAACCGGGTATATTCTAACAGTGCTCCGAATTTTGAACCGTCCAGTTTGTGCCAGACTGCTCTCCGGCACTTGGAGTATTTCAAAACGCACTTATAGTTAGCAGGCTATTGCTTGGCTAACATTAGCTTAACAGTTAAGCCTTAGTAGGCTAATGCTTGGCCAACGTTAGCTTAATAGCCAAGCAGCTTTTTAACTAACTTGTCAACTCCTCAGTAATAAATACAAACTTTAAAAAGCATTCATGATTTCTGTAAATGTATTATTACTCTTTTTTAAAATGTCATTACATTCAGCAAAGAACGCATAATGACTCGTTAAACTCAAAGTTTAGGACTTGAGACTTGGGACTTAAGGGCAAACACTTGAGACGTATACTTTGAAGCTGCGAGCGACAACGTAACAACGTGACTACAAAAACATGATTGGAAAAGGTGAAAATCCTGTACAGCTTTTTAACTAGTGAATCATAATAACTCTTTAACGTTTTCTCGAGTGCCATCATCAGGATAAAATTTTGATATGACTAAATAATTTGTCAAAATAATTAAGTTGTCATTAGTATTAGCTTTCTGTCTTTCTTTTCTTTTTGTTTAGCGCTGTGTTTAGCTAAGGTTTGCAAGCTAACATGCTAAACCAAGACAGTTACACCTGCTAAACAAGTTAGCATGCTAACGTGACATTTAATTCAGCCTCACAAAGCCACAAGTCTAACTGTAGAATAAAACTATTAACTTTATCCCTGTGCAATAATGACACATGTGGAAAAAAATGTTTTAATATGCGTCTCTGTAGTAAATAATTACTGTAATATCTTGTGTTTATCACAGAGACATCATAGTACGATCATCATTCATGTGCCCAGTTTTTACGATGACCAATCACAGCCCAGGAAGCGTCTGGAGCGTCCAGTCAGCTTTCCCGCTCCTGCTCCAGTGCCCGCCCTCTGGCACAGTATATTAATTTGGCAAGCAGGCAGACGCTGCAGTACTCAGTGCACGGTGAACAGAGGCTGTCTTACAGTTTGACACTGAACTGGACCAATTACATCTGCAAAAATGGTGGATGCTTTCTGTGCTACATGGAAACTGGTGGACAGCCAGAACTTTGATGACTACATGAAGGCACTTGGTGAGATCATTTATTTTTCTCCTTGAAATAGAGATACTGTTAGTGTCAGCAATGTGTTTTTAAGGAAGTTGCTTGTTTTTGCTCATATGGTTTCACTTTAAGTGCAGATAAGAAGTAAAATAAGTTGTTTTTATTGTCCTAATATGTCCAGTGTAATGCATTACTAAAGACACTTTTATGACAGGTGTTGGTTTTGCCACAAGACAAGTGGGCAACATCACCAAACCAACAGTACTGATCAGCCAGGATGGGGACAAAGTGGTGGTGAAAACCCTGAGCACCTTCAGGAACACTGAGATCGCCGCTAAACTGGGAGAGGAGTTTGATGAGACCACACCTGATGACCGGCATGTCAAAGTCAGCTGAGTTTAAAAAGTCAGCGTGTAATAATCTTCACTGCAACATGTGCTCTGGGTCAGCATGAGGTGGGTTAAATTACACTGTGCTTGTGCTTGCAGTCCACCTTCACCATGGAAGGAGACAAACTTGTGCAGGTGCAGAAGTGGGATGGCAAGGAGACCAAATTTGTCCGAGAAATCAAGGATGGGAAGATGGTGGCGGTAAGATTGAATAGCACATGTGTGGAACAAGTGCAAATAATCTTTTTAAGTGTTTATATTTATCAGTTTATGGAGCCATTTGCATTATAAATTAGGTGATGTAAATCATTTTGAGTTGCCCTGTTGGAATGTGCTGTAGGCTACATGTAAATTCACCTTTGCAGTAGTGTAATAACTGCTGTCATATGACCCAAATGGACTAAAAATAACTTGCTTTACATAGACCTTGCATTAAAAATCAAAGCTAATATACGTTGCATTTTGCTTTGTCTCTTCTCTGCCTCACAGACTTTGACTTATGAGGGAGTCAGTGCCGTCCGCACGTACGAGAAAGTCTAACTTTACTCCTCCACTTGAATGAGCAAATCCTCCCTGCACTGCAAACGTTCAACAAGGTGTTCTCTGTTTTTTAACAAATGTTTTTTGCTTCTTTTTTTTTTACAGTGTGCAGTGATTTGCACTTGATTTGCTGTTGTAACATGAGGTAAATATTTTGGGGCATTTTTTGTAAGATCTTTTGTAAGAAATTCAGACTGTGAAGGGCCTAAAAGTTGTTTCATCACATGTGAAAAAGGGAAAAATAAACTACTTGACTAAACCTTCTTTATGCCTCCGAGATTTCAGTTGTTCAGAAGTGATGCGAGTGCCATCGCTTCATCTTAACAGAGCTCTCTTCTTTATTTAAGCCATTTTCTTTCATGCAACTTTGAATGTAGTCCTACATTTCTTTTCAAATATGTGGACTTAAGTTGTGGGAACAGTGCTCTCCCTGTGATGGGTCAATTCCAGGTGACAGCTGCAGGGTGACGGTGCAGCCCAGTGTGACCATTGAACTCATGGGAATGAATGTCCTGCAGTAACCCCCAGATGGTCAGAGAGGACTAGGAGCCGGAGGGGGTGGGGGTGCTGATGTCACACGCCTTGGGATAATCCGGTTTTAGTTGTGGTGTCATTACGTAGAGGCATCATTCGATGCTGTGTGGACCAACCGTGATTGAATGCTGCCGCTGGCATGGCAGATGACAGCCAGAGAAAGGATACCGTGCCGGATGAGGACAGTTTGTGTCAATCCAATATCCCACGGTTAGTAGTTCAACATCTAAAATTAGAGTCTGACAGTAAACCTTTGTGATCCCCAAGTGCTGGTCTTCAGATTAAGAGGGGACTGTGTGAAAGCTCGTGCTCATTTTTAAGTTTCCTCCATCTTTCCCACATTGAAGGAGCCAAGCCAACACCTCCCTGTCCTGCCCTGTGAGCTGTGTCTAGCGTACTGAGCACTGTGACTACAAGTGGCCATTCTTCTCATCCCGACACACAGGCTGCCAAGTTTTTGGCCACCTTTGAATAGCGTGCGACACAAAGAAACCGTGGTAACTGGAGTGGAACTCATTGGGCTGTTGCTTGCTGAATTAATTCCAATCGAAATCCGTCTTAATGCTCCAGTTATAGTTTGCCAAAAATTGCCTCCATTCTCACAAAACCAGGCGAAATCATTAGCATAAGTATTTGGGGGTGAAAACTGTTACAAGACAAGATCAGGCGAGTGTGTGTAACAATGTTCACAGCAGCACAGTCACACTGAAAAGGCAGAAACAGGGAGATGACCACAGTGCGTGTTGGAGAAACAGCAAGAGATAAGTTTAATGTAGCTTCTTCTGTTGTTACACGCTTCCCAGGAGAGAGCGCAGGGAGATTCCTCTTTGTGTGGAATCTGTGTCAGCGGTGTAAACTGGCCAGCAGTAACCCCTCTCAGGCCTCATTAGGGAAATATACTGTGAAGACCTGACCACCTTCTCTACACCCCCCTCAGTGTGGTCAACTCTAGTTCCCATTCAAACATCACACACTCATCAGGGCTGAAGCTACAGCTGAGACAACTGCTCCTCATGTCATTTAAAAATCAAATTTTTAGGCAATTTGGGGGATTAATAACATGGAGGTGGGGGGTTATTTTCCATGATGAAACATATATTACACATGTTGAGTTTTTAAGGCTGATTCTGATTTCTTTAAGCCATATTATCTTAAAATTTGGCCATTTTTAGGTAAAACATTTAAATATATTAAATAAAAATAAAAGGGATTTTATATTTTCTAATGCAATGGCATACCTGGCTTTGAAATAACCTATCTATAAGTCAACAAAATGACTGATGACTTTTAAACTACAGACAATGACCTGATCTAATGTGTTTAAGTGTTTAGTAATGACTCTACATGCTTATCTTAGTAACTATTTGTCTGCGTTTTACAGTGTTGTCTTTTGTGTTTGGTGAGCTGAAGACAAATTTCCACAATAAAGATATATTCTATAACGTTATGGACGCAAAAATTCATAGGAAATAAACCTGAAAAGTTAAATGAATAAATAAAATTTGGTATCTTTAAACAGTCAAAAAATCTATACAGAATTTTGTGCTATATAAAAAAAATAATTTCCCTACCATTGTCAGAGGAAAGTTTTTTTTTTTACGTTGAAAAAGTTGTCCATAACGGTCCCCGACAACTGTATTTGTTCTTTCCCTGTCATTTTTTTAAATTTATTTTTTCATTGTTTGCCTGTTTATTTTTTAAAAAAAAAATTGGTGAATTTTTGTTTGTTTGGTATTTTTCCTTTATTTTTGTTTATGTGTTTATATTTGCAAAAATATGCACAAGAGTAATGATGAAAATGGTCCATGTTGTCCAAATAGGATGTTTTTTCCTTCTCAGATACTTTTGGAAAACTACTTATTGGGAGAAAAAAAAAGATAAAAAACAAACAAAAATGGGGGCTTACTGGAGGAATCTAGGCTGATGAACTCAGCATTTCAGAAAGTCCTGTATATAGCCCTGACACTCATGTGAACATAAAACATGTAATAAAACCACAAAAAGCCTAGGCAATATCAACTATTCATGGAGAATAATATTTTGAAGTTATCATAACTTCATCATTTAACAACCTTCATCACAGATGATAAAGATAATAATCAAAATATCTGGACTGAAAAACCTGCCAACACATGCAAAACTGAAAATGTAAGCATAAATAATAGCCTAGGTAAATAATAACTTTATACACTCTTATACATAAGCTATTACATTCAATTTGTCCTTTGTTTTCTGTGCTAAAAATTGAATCCACTTAGTTTTAACATAAAACAGTTGAGACCAGCAAAAAAAGGCTGGGCTGAGTTTTTGTGTTGGAGATGTTTGCACAATTAGAGAAAAACAAGCCTTACAAAGAAACTCTTGCATTGCTGTGTTTTAATGTCAAATTGCTACTATTCACAAGCATGAGGAAGATGTAAGTGACAAATAATACATAATGTGGTTTTAACTGCTATTAAAGAGCAGTTTCAGTAGTAATGAGAGGGGGATAAAACTTATATTTATTTAACTATTTACAATGAGATTATTGATTAGTATGACTCGTTAGGTACTTGTTAGAGACAACACTTGGAGACAAGTGTCTGTTATTGGTATCAAATGATTCGTAAGTGCAAGTATTGAGTGTTGCCATTCTCAAAGTTGGGAAAAAAAATATTAAGAAACATTTGTGAGCTTAAAACAAAAACACACATCATGCACATTTCATTCAAGGACTATGAGACAAACATACAGTGCTGTGATCACTGAGATATTTAAAAATGTACGTATTGCACCTTTACGTGGTTCAAGTGAGTCTCTAGATGTGATTCTGTAAATTCGACTGAAGCAAATTCTCATCTTTTGTCACCATGAATCAAAATGTTTTCTTTACAAAAGTCCAAAAAGACAATGGGAACAAAACATCAGGGATAGTGGAGCGTCACCATAAAACTGCGGCTGTCACAGTACAGCTACCGGAGCCTGAGCAGTTTTGGGTCTGATGCACCATCAATGGACTGATAGTGTCTCTATTATTCTAATAAAAAAAAGATAAGTGGATTTACTTTAGATTAAACTCAGGATTAGTGCCACAAGCTGTAATAACTGTCCTCTAAGCAGCATATGGAGCACAATGTAAAAAGCCATATGTAAACAACAGCTGGTACACGCTGAGAAATAATGCACCAGTTTACATCTGAGATCATCTGCCTAAACGTGACGCCATCTGCGCACGGTGCAGAGATTATGAAAGTTCATTTCAACGTTACACTTAACTGCAACATAACCACGTTAACAACCACACGCAGGCTGTTAAATAAACCTGCAGACGAGCTGATTCTTGCAGCTCTCTTGTCCTCATGGTCTGTCATTCTTCAGAGATTTCAAACACGTGAGTTGAAATCAATCTGAAATCATCACCCATACTGCACACCACATGCACAGGATGTTCATACTATAACATGACTCCTGTTTGTTTTGGCACAGTTAATGGGATGTAAAATGTGAGATGTTAGACGTGTTAAAAACATAAAATAGACTTTTAACTTGGAACGATTTTCGCGTGACGACCCGTTCACAATAAAATGTGCTAAAATAAAACATGTTTCTGAGCTGTGCACACTGACCAAAGGTAGTGACAGTGTGTTTTTGGTCTACCAAGGAATCGCTGTTCTCCACATCCCTCTTTGACTGACAAAAAGAAATCCATCTCATGTGCCCTGCTCTTAATGTTCCAGCTTGTTTGACGACAGTGCAAAAAAACACCCGCCCTCTCATCGGCTAACTCAGGTGGCATCAAATTGGAACAGACTGAGCAGCTGGAGAAAGACTTCTCCAACATGTTGTCCAATTATTGAGTCAATCTGCTACTCAAAACTCATTCTGACAATTTAGCACCAGTGTCAAAATGAAGCGCTGGTACACATCTAGGTAGTTTAATAAGACTTTACAGGTTTTTTCCGTATGTTTGGGAGCTCTCGTGTACAGTACGTGGTCATTCCTTTTGACAGACATACACAGAACAAGAAAAAAATTCATTAAAATGACTGAAATAATATCAAGAATTATGGAATTACGCACAAACTATAAATGCCCAATTGTTGATTCGAGGGCTTTAAAAACAAGATAAGTTGAGCATAAAATAATAAAAAGGAAAAAGCTAAAATTGCACAGACGACGGTGCAGAAAAATTCATTTCAGTTTATGTAATGTACAAACCACTTTTCAAGTAAATGTGGGGACTGAACCCTCGTCCACCTTGAATCTGCTTTTGTGGCTGTTTTTGTACCCTGTTTACAAAATGTTCCTTCGTGAAGAAAAAAGAAAAATCACTGTCATATTTATTTGCATGTGTTAGTGTGAGGATCTAAATGTGTGATCCACAGAGGTAACATACTTCACTGTTCCATCACTCTCACAATATCCACCATTCAAAACAACCAAACACAAAAAATACATAAATAAAAACAATGGAAAGGAATGACACTGGCTGCATGTATTTGGAACGAGAGCTCAACCAAAATCAAATCGGTCCATCACATGAAATCACCCAGCATCCTCTGCTGTCCAGGGTTTTCTCCTGAGGACCACCAGTGAACAGTAGGCTGCGTTTCAGCAGCACTGGGCTGTGATGCGACCTTGTCGTTATGAGTGAAATTGACTAAATTGTAAACCTCAGACTGGATTTAGACTGAAGCTTCAAATCTGCAGCGGCGAGAAGGCGTAGAAAGGAAACTGGGCCTCATCCTCGTCCACAAAGAAACACTGGAAGTAGGGCAGCTCTTCTGTGGAGGACGGGACAATATGCAACAGTACAGTTCAGTACGCTGTGTTCCTCGCCTCTGTTTGGCATTTAGACTGAGCATGAAATCTGCACTCTTGTGTGATATTTCAGTTGTGAGGGGGCAGCTTGTACTCACCTTCCATCTGAAAGCTGTCTGATACAGACGGCTCTGCTATCACAAAGACAAAACAATTGTCAATTAAACAATAAAATGGTATTTTACTGTAAATTACAGCTTTGCTACAATACCTTTGACTTTCTCCTCCTTGTCAAATTTCTTCTCAACAGGTCTTTCTACAAATAACAAGAGGATTCATTTGTACATAAATCAGATAAAGCTTCAGTGGCTGTATCTAAAACACTCTGAATTTAGTTGCTTAACAAATACCTTTCTTTGCTGTCTCCTGTATCTCTTTAAGAACTCTGTCCTCTGTAAATAGCAACACAAGATAAATAACTATTAACAGTCTAGTTTATACTATGACTTTTTTGACATACTATACTATGACATTTTTAGACATACTATACTATGACATTTTTAGACATACTATACTATGTTTTTGACATGCTTTGACATGTTTTTTTTACATAACCATACTATGACATTTTTAGACATACTTTAGTATGTGCAAAAAAGTCATAGTATAGCATGTCGAAAAAACTGCTAAAAAAGTAATAATATAGTATGTCGAAAAAACTGCTAAAAAAGTCATAGTATAGTATGTGGAAAAAGTCACAGTATAGTGTGTCGAAAAAGTCATAGTATAGTATGTCATAAAAAGTGCAAAAAAGTCATGGTATAGTATGTTGAAAAAAGTGCAAAAATGTCATAGTATAGCATGTCGAAAAAACTGCTAAAAAAGTCATAGTGTAGTATGCCATAAAAAGTGCAAAAAAGTAGTAGTATAGTATGTCAAATAAACTGCTAAAAAAGTCAAAGTATAGTATGTTGGAAAAAAGTCATAGTATAGTATGTCATGAAAAGTGCAAAAATGTCATAGTATAGCATGTCGAAAAAACTGCTAAAAAAGTCATAGTGTAGTATGCCATTAAAAGTATAGTATGTTGAAAAAAATCATAGTATAGTATGTCATGAAAAGTGCAAAAAAGTTATAGTATAGCATGTCGGAAAAACTGCTAAAAAAGTCATAGTATAGTATGTCATAAAAAGTGCAATAAAGCCATAGTATAGTATGTTGAAAAAAGTCATAGTATAGTATATGTCAAAAAAAGTGGAAAAGAAGTCATAGTATAGTATGTCAAAAAACGTGCAGAAAAAGTCATAATATAGTATGTCGAAAACAGTCATAGTAGAGTATGTCGAAAAAAGTCATAATATAGTATGAAGAAAAAATTGCAAAAAGTCATAGTATAGTATGTCGAAAAAAACTGCAAAAAAGTCATAGTAAAGTATGTTGAAAAAAGTGCAAAAAAAGCCATAGTGTAGTATAAGGAAAAAAGTCATAGGACAGTATGTCGAAAAAAGTGCAAAAAAGTCATAGTATATTATGTCTAAAAAGTCATACTATACTATGAACTTTCTTTGACATACTATACAATGACATTTGTTTATATATATATTTTAGTATGATGTTTTGTTGACATCCAGTACAGACCTTTTTTTGACATTTGTTTCTGACATTCTTTTAGAAATATGTGTTTTTGACATGCTTTACTATGACATCTTTTTGACATGATATTCTTTAACATGTTTGAGAAATGATAATTTGATGTTGTTTTGACAAACCATACTTTGTTTTTTTGATATTTCACTATGAGATTTTTCACACACACACACACACACACACACACACACACACACACAGTAACGTTAATGTTCATGATTGCCACAATTGATTTCCATTACCTTTAGTTTTCTCTTCTTTCGTAGCCTTCTTCTCAACTGGTTTTTCTGACATAATAAATGAAAAAACAATATAATGTCCATATAACTCAGATCTACAGTGTGCAGTAGTAGGTGTACTGTAAACTGTGTGTGGTCACAAAGTCAGGTTATTGACAAACTTTTTTTTCATTATTGCCTCTGGTTTTTCTTTACGAACCTTGTCCTCTGCATAAATCACAAATTTTACATAAATTTACATCGTACTACCTGTATTTCTATACTGTGTATACTGCATTATATTTAATTGCATTTATATTTATTATTTTCATTTAATTCTCATGGTGTGTAAAGCTTATTTCCTGCACTCTCATTCCTATATCATTGTCATTTATACATGTGTACAGCCCATTTTTAGCACTCTCATTCATATCGTTATCATTTATGAATGTGTACAGCTTATTTTTTTGCACTATTTTATCATCTTTATCTTATATCATCATTATCGTAATGTGCACAGAAAATCCTCCATAAATCACAAATTTGCCATAAATGTACAGCATGCTACCAATATATTCTGTGTAATGTATTATACTTAATTGCATTAATAATATCGTTATTATCATTATTTGTACAGCTTTTCTTTGGATTTTCCTATTGTACTTTCTGTATTGTGTAATCAACTCTACATGCCTCTGAAAAGTACCACTAAGGTACAAATTAAGTGTGTTGAATTTAATTGAATTTTTGAGATGTATTGATGTAAATAAACACTACTCAAAACTGATGCTATGCAGTACCTTTCTTTGCTGCAGTGGGTTTGACCTTTTCTTTTAAGACCTCAGGCTCTGTTTCACAAATATGAACGAACACAAGTGGGCAAGAGCATGGATAATTACAACATAGTTTCATTTCCAGGCAACAAAAAAGGATGTTTTGTTTCATTTTAAAAGTAAAACAGGTTTTTCTTTCTTTCCTGTGTAAGCCTGTGTAGCATACAGCACGTTTCACTAGTGTCAGGATGACACTGAAGACTCATTAATTTAAACTTATGTTGTTATTAGAAGACATGCCTAAGGTCACGCTGCAAAAGGTTTAGGGTTGTTAAAACTATTTTCATGCATGCTCAGTAAGAGACTGGAAAATATTGCTAAATTATACATTTACTGTATATAAGCCCAAGATTTATAGACAAAGATAAATCAGCATTGTGTTATTCCGTAAATTATTGTCTATAAATCTTCAACAGAATATTTTCTTGCTGAATAAAAACATGTTTCAAAATCTTAATTTTAGATGTTTCTTATAAAGAACGCTGTCACATTCAGCAGGAAAACATTCTCAGCGTTCAGGCTGCATGTTGTAATCACATCACTATGAAGGTTACATGGTTACATGAAGTGCTGCCTTTACTGAAGCAACACAAATGTACCTTTCTTCACACGGACTGGTTTGGTCTTTTCCTTAGAAATGGCTGCATCATCAGGAAGAAAATGCAGTTCATATAATATACATTATTGTTTATGTGTGAGGGTATTTTTGGCAGTAGAATTTCAGCATACTGTATGTACGACAGACTTTAAAACCTTTGCCTCAGATACATCACCAAATTAACTCAGTATTCTTGTTCCATTATAAACTGATGTAGATGACGCTGCCCTGCAAAGGCTAACCAAAATAACTTTGCTAACACTAGAACTGAGAAAAATGGCTTCAAAGTTTTTACTCTTCAGCTAAACGTGTTAGATGTAGAAAAGTGGTTAATTATTAAGTGGTTTTTATGCCTGCAACCCATAATCAGTAAGCCCCAAAAAGTAGTAAAGTGTAGTTACTGCACTCTTCTATTGTGTAACCTTGAACAGTTGTAAAGGTGATGAAAATGCAAAGTGCAATGACCAAATTTTAGTGTCTTATCTTTTTCATTTTGAGGAGCTAGATTCAATGTGTATTTGTTTCATTTACAGATGTCAGTTTTTAAAGTAGTAATAGCAAAATTTTTAAGAACCCCTAGTGCAGTGGTTTTCAAACTTTTTGTGTGTTATCGCTCTTATTATGACATAAGAATATAAAAATAAGAAGAACTGAGACAGGTAGCTTCTGTGACACTGTTTTTTTTTTCTCTCTCTTTTCTTACGGTGGTACATCATCTTCTCTGGTGCTTTGTTGTAATTTGCTACGCACAATAGAGCGATCCCACTTATGCCTTTCTCCTTTTAAATGTTATCATCCCTCACACTGGCTGCCAATCAGGGCTTTTGATGTGTCACACACTTATAATTACCACACCTGAATGGCGACAGATTTTTAAATGAAATTAAATTACATCTATCTATCTACTGTGGTTTAGCCTTTGCAGGGCAGTATGGTCATCAAATGGTCAATGGTAAAATGGTTGTCACTGTACCAAACACTTTACCTTTTTTCACTGCAGCAAGTTTTTCCTTTTCTTTAGGAATCTCCAGTTCTGCAAAAGGAAACAGAGGTCAGACTCGTACAATCGCGACACAGAACACGGAGAGCAGAAGAAGCCACAATTAGTTCATTTTACAGCTAGGCATATTGCAGCCTGAGCCACAGCATTACCACGACAAAACTGGATTTCTAAAAGCTGAAAACAGCCGGCACAGCATTAAGAATCTACAACAGGAAGACTGTTATTCATGTTAGAAAGTTCATCATAACAAATATGTTGATTTGTTCATTTTGGGGGCTTTTTCTGTAAAAAAAAAAACAACTGCTTGGCAAGTGTTGGTTTCTCCACTTTTAATGCGTCTGGCTGTGTGAATTACCTGTTTTATTTCCTCTACACTGTAGGGCAAGGGGTAGGAAGCGTTCCAAACATTTCAACTTTTACAACACATTGTTAATGTTTGGTGGGATGAACAGCCTTTGCTTTGGCACTGCAGCTCTTTTTGTCAACATTACAGAAGGTAAGATGTGATTTATAAAAGCTTTACAAAATCTGCTTTGCAAATAAACAAGCTTATATTATTCCTCAGGATCACATAGAAACAGCAGTTTGCCTATGGAGCTGTTGCAGAGAAACCACTCTCCATTTCCTGTGTTGATTTATTGTTGATCTCATAGGCAAAATGCTTGTTTCACTCCTGAGCAATCCAATTACAGAATACAGTGACCTACATTTGATAAATAAATCACTGTCATCACAATCCCACACTGGTTATATGGATTAATCCTACTGAACTAATGTACCTTTCTTTACATGGACCGGTTTGACCTTTTTCCTCGGCAACGCTGAAAAAAAATATTTGTGATGGTGCTTAGTACAACAGGAGGAAATGCCAAACAAGCTGATTCTTTTTTTTTTTTTTGGTCACCAAACATGACAATGTGAGCAGTAAATGTTGTTTTGTGCCTTTTTTAACAGCTGGTTTTACTTTGTCCTCTGGAACTTTGGGCTCTAAGTAAATAAGAACGTGAGCATTTATGATACTTATTAAGTTGCCTTGTTATCTAGTTTGGTTATAGTTGCTTAAGTAACATTACAGTTATACATTATTAGCATCTTATTATGTATATTTAGAGGATATCAATAATTTTTGTAAGCTACAATCCCAGAAAATCATCTGCAGGTGGATGATTTTCAGGCAGGCTACCTTTTTTCTTTAGGATTGGTTTGATCTTTTCCCTCTTTGTTACAGCCTCTATTTTAGAAGGAGCTAATCCAAACAGGAAACACACACAAAACATTTTTAAAACTGTGGATTTTCATAATTTTGGTCCAGTGTATAGGATTTAGGGGGCTAAATCTGCATAAATAAATTTAATATAATGAGTATGCTTTCTTTAGTGTGTAATCACCTGAAAATATGAATTATTGTGCTTTTTTTTTTTTTTTTACCTTAGAATGAGTCGTTTAAATCTACATAGAGAGTGGATCCTGATGGCCATGTTGCACCGCCATGTTTCTACAGTAGCCAAGAATGGACAAACAAATACTGGCTCCAGATAGGGCCCCTCCACGATGAGGACGTCAGGAAAACATTAACAGCTTTGTTCATTGCTTTACTGGTTTAAATCACCAGGTCCACTTGTTTTGGAGAGGAAGAGACCTCTTTGGCTAAGTTGGCTCCCGGTAAAAACCTCCTGAGCAATGAATGCTGCCGAAATTTCAACCTAGGGAAGTATCAACTATTTGCAATCTGCAGTCCCCTCACTGATGCCACTAAATCCCCCCTTTCACACTGTACTTTTAAAAATAAATCTAAAATTCTATGTCATGTCTGTAACTTTGTGTTGTTTTAATTAAGTATTTACCTTTCTTTTCATGAGCTGGTTTTGGCTTCTCTTTGGTAACCTCAGGCGCTGAGTGTAATAAAAATGATTTGTGAAGAAAGAAAGAAAGTTGACTTGTTGCCTAATAATGATGGATTGTGTCTGCATTACCTTTTTTGGCAAGAACTGGCTTGGCTTCAGGTTCTAAAGAGGAGAAAGAAAAAATAAGAGGCATGATCATTCTTGCTTTCTAATAAGTGAACTGAAACTCACATTCATTAAGATGTGTTTGAGATGTCTGCTACTAAGCATGATAACATTGTCAGAAAAATCTGGCTTGTGTATGACAGCTTTTCAATCTGAAAAGCAGCAGCATTCTGAGACATTTTTCATAGGGGTGGCCAAAACCAAAAGTCATAACTGAATTCTCTGTTAGCTGAAAACTATGTCAATATGAAAGTTACAGAATTAGATACTGACATATGTTTGCTCTGGTTTTAATGTTATTATCTGATGTGCATACACTAATACCAGTGCAAAATTTTGAGTTCCACAACAATCCTGTTTTATCGGATATGTAAGTTAGACAGTTCATTGTTCTTCGAATTGACTAGTTGTCCTTTTCCTTAAAAAGAAAAATATACAACTTTAATTTAAAAGAGTGCATTGATTCAAAGGAACAAAACATTTAATAGGAAGGAGTCTACTCAAGGTTAAAAACACCACAAAGGTCTTCGGTTATTTTCATGAGCCAGGCAGCAATTGTTTAAGGTGACTGCCTAGAAAATGTCTCAAACTTGCAATGCAGCTCAAATAAAGCATGTTATTGCTGGTGTAAAAAAAACATGCATCCCTAAAATATCAACTTCTTCAGCTCTAAGTCTTTTTAGATGATTATAATGTATTAAAACAAATTTGTCAGCTTACATTATAACCTTGGTTCTCTGATTGAGGAGACTATTTTCCCCATTATGTTACATTTTCCTAAGGCCCGTTTCCACTGCAGGAACTTCGGGGTAATTTTACGGGGCCGGGGCAGGAACCACCCCCGAAGGACAGAGTTTACAGGGGCTAAACAAGTCCCTGCCTCGGAGTAGGTACTCAGAACGGCCCCGAAAGACTCCTGGCTGGGGCTTGGGGGTTACTTGGTGCTGATTGGATATACTCAAGGAGGGATGTGACAACAACAGAAAGCAACAAAATAGCTGGCATTTTTAAAACTCAGCAGACGAGGGTTAGCTCGTTCATATAGCTTCCGCCGCCATCTAAAAAAAACTCACTAAATGGCCTGTGAAAAAAAAATTTTTTCCAGCGGATATCTTAGTTACAACATGATTGAGCTAGCAAAGCAGTTTTGTGTTGATATGTGTGGTATTTATTCAGTTATGTGAAGTCACGATATCTAGAAAGCATCAGCTGACAGCAGCAGCAAAGCTAACATCAGGACGTCATCTGTTAAAAGCCTCCCGTTGTCGGATACGACATGAAACTACTCCAGTTAGCTCAATCATGTTGTAACTAAGACATCCGCCGGAAAAAATATTATTTTCACGGGCCATTTAGTGAGTTTTGACAGACACCGCTATCGGCTAACAACGTCCGTACGTGGATATGTGTATTGATATGTGTAGTATTTATTCAGTTTTGGGAAATCACGATGTCTAGAAAGCATCAGTGGCCGCAGCAGCAGCAAAGCTAACATCAGGACGTCATCTGTTAAAAGCCTCCCGTTGTCGGATACGACATGAAACTACTCCAGTTAGCTCAATCATGTTGTAACTAAGACATCCGCTGGAACACCGCTATCGTCTAACAGCTAACGGCGTCCCTACCTCGCCCCGGTCAAAATGGTCACGCAACGATTACGTCACATCCAAAGCCCATAACTTTACAGGAACCTTCCTCGTACTTCACTCTCTCAGTGGAGACACGGCGGTTGAGAGGGCCAAGCGAGAGGACGTTCCTGTAGTAGTTCCTGCTCGTGAAATAGCACCAGGAACTTCTTCAGTGGAAACGGGCCTCTAGTCTTTGCAGATTCGGTGCTCTAACCCACACACACTCTCTCTCCTTTCTTTCAAGATACAACACAGATTGTCACACAATGCACCCTGACTCAGGTCAAGATCAGACAAACAATAGGTCCGTTTCCACTGAAGAAGTTCCTGGTGCTATTTGGGGGGCAGGAACTACTACAGGAACGTCCTCTCGCTCGGCCCTCTCAACCGCCGTGTCTCCACTGAGAGAGCAGAGTGGAGAGGATGGTTCCTGTGGTGGAGACAAGCACCAACGGCCCCGGCCCCGTAAAATTACCCCGAAGTTCCTGCAGTGGAAACGGGCCTAATGATTACAGGCCAGCACAGGTGCTTTATGGGTAAACCCTAGGGCCAGGCAACCCGGTGTGTCCTCAAGAATTATGCACACACCCTGACAGCAGGGGGCATGCTGGATGAAAACTGGCATAAGTAGCCTATCAATAGATAAATAAATCTATAAATAATAATAATAATGATAATAATAATAATAATAATAATAATAATACATTTTATTTAAAAGGCACCTTTCCAAACACAAACTACAGAAAAAAATAGAAGTAAATATTTTAATATGTAGAAATAAATAAAGATGATAACTAAGATGTGTAATTAGCCTATGTCCAGTTTAATAATTTTTTCCCATGTTTTTTCAATATTTATTCATTCATTATTTTTTAAAAATATTTATGGATTTATTTATTCATACATGTATTCATACATTTATTTATTGATTTATCACTGAATTTATTCATACATTTATACATTTATTTTTACATTTATTTATTTATTTATTCCTTCCTGTATTTCTTTTTTAATTTCATATTTATTTATTCCTGTATTTGTTTTATTTTCATATTAATTGATTTATTTATTTGATTGATTGATTTTCTATTTCTGTATTTCTACATTTATTTAATTATTTCTGTATTAATTTGTTTATCATTTGTACATTTATTTATTTACTAATTTACTGATACTTAAATCAGTTTCGTCTTACATATGGAAAATGTAAGAGTAGAGCGATAGCCTCAGTTTGATAGAGAACAACAAATTGTCAGTAGTTTCTTTCACAAGCCTTTGAAATTATATAAATAATGATGTTCAATGAACATTACTGTTTTCATCAGCAGCCACATGTTAAAGCTACTAAAGCTCTACAGAAACACACTTGTGCTGCATACCTTTCTTCTTTACAGCAGCTTTAGGTTTTGCTTTGATAACAGGTGCTAGAGAAATACACAGCCCCATGTGATTAAAATAGAATAACAAATACAGTGTAAAATAAGTGAAAGCTCCGAGGAAAAACAAACCTTTTTTAGGAGTCACTGGCTCGACCTTCTTCTCTTTGGGAACCTCAGCTTCTATAGCAAATAATGACAAAAACACAACTCATGCTGACTGTTGTTTCCAGCACTTTGTGTCCAAGTTATTACACAACTGATGCAGTTTATTTACACAGTAAGATTCCTGACACCACCACAAAAATCCAGAGATCTGATAGGCCAAATTATAAATCACAGTGAATAAAAATGTAGTGGAGTGGAGAGATACAATGAGGACAACAGATTTTTAGTAGTTTCCTCCACAAGCCTTTGAAATTATATTAATAAGCAGTCTGAACATTACTGTTTTCATCAGCAGCCACATGTTAAAGCTACTAAAGCTCTACAGAAACACACTTGTGCTGCATACCTTTCTTCTTTACAGCAGCTTTAGGTTTTGCTTTGATAACAGGTGCTAGAGAAATACATGTCTCCAGTCAGAAACAACAAAGTAAACTGATGCTGTAAAACTACTAAAAAGTGACAAGAGTGAAAAATACATTGTGAAATGAATGAAGGTACCAAAGAAAAACAAACCTTTTTTGGGAGTCACTGGCTCGGCCTTCTTCTCCTTAGGAACCTCAGCTTCTAAAGTAAATAATCAAAATTTAAAAATCAGTCAAGTTGGTCATTTACAGCACTTTGTTTTCATGATGCAGTTTATTCACACAAATACTCCTGACACCACAACATTCAAGCATCTAGACTAAAACGTTTGTTAAATAAGCAGACTGTAAAAATACAAAAATAAGTGAATAAATAATACTGTGGGAAAATACATACTATGTATGGTGTTAGTATGGGTGATATTTTATTGATGAAATTACGTTAATAACTTTAACTACCTTTTTTTGGTGGCGCTGGTTTGACTTTTTCTTTTGGCATTACAGGCACTACGAGAGAGTGAAAAGATTAAAAAAAAAAAACAATAATCACCAGTTTTATTATTTTTTAAAATGCAAAACTCATAAATGTTGAGCAGTCAGCACTTTGAATAAAAAAGGGCACACTGTAGTGATGACCATTTAAAAAGTGTGTAAACTAAAAGAAGTACCTTTCTTCAGTGGCACAAGTTTCACCTTCTCCTTTGCTACTGAGATATTTTTGGGCGGTACTTCTGCCTCTGTAAGAAAATCCAAATGAGTGGGAAAATCAGTCGCTTCACTATTTCAACACAAACATAAATGTTAATTAGTGTCCTTTTACCTTTGACTACCGGGGCTGGTTTTGTCTTGACTGGAGCAGCTTCTGTAAAAGTGATTTTTAGGTTTGTCATTCCAGAAACATGCATACTGGGAGGAGAAATCTGAACACAAAGATTTGTCCTACCTTTCTTTGTTTTGGCTGGTTTGGGCTTCTCGGCTGCTAAAGAAAATATAGTACATGATGTTTGGTTTGCACTGATGTCACGAACATTTTGGTGTTTGAAATATATACAATGTGTCGTACCTTTCTTTGCAGCGACTGGTTTGACTTTCTCCTTTGGAGGCTTGACTTCTGAAAACATAAAACACATAAATGCTCAGAATCACTGACTCAGTTCACTGAAATATGAAACCAGTGAAACATATAAAGAAAACATACCTTTTTTCATGGGCACTATTTTGAATCTGTGTTTCACCAGGGTGGCGTTTCTGGCCTCTTGTTCTGTGAGTGGAAAGATGGAAATAAGATACACATATAGCAAGATGTAAATGATTTTATGTATATTTTATAACATGCTCCACACTTACCTTTTTTCAAGACGGAAGGTTTGGCCTTTTCTTTAGGAGCAACAATTTCTGTGTGTAAAAAGCAAAATATTTGTTACAGCAGGACGGTTTTATTCCCTTTGTGACAATCAATCATTTTTCTCTTTAGTGATTAATGAAAACATAATCAAAAACTTATAAATTTATGATGTGTGTGTGTGTGTGTGTGTGTGTTACCTTTCTTAACAGGAGCTGCTTTGGCCTTTTCCTTTGGCGCTTCTGTGTCACAAAATGGGGCACAAAATTAGCTTTGCCTTTTGATAAGATACTTTTAGAGTTTATATCAAAAACATCTGCACTGTAAACTGATAAACTGGTCCTCACATTATAGTGACGTATTTTCTTCAAGTAGTTTTCAGTAGTTTTTGAAAGGTGTGGAAGAACAATGTTTGTGTGAGCTGTAAACCATGTTTATACTCTCAGTTTAGATACACAGCTAAAAGTAGTGATAATAATAATACTAAAAATAATACATTTTATTTAAAAGGTGCCTTTCCAAACACAATCTATGGAAAAAACTATGGAAATAAATAATTACAGAACTAAAGAAAGAATAAATAAATGCCTAAAAAAATACAGAAATAAATATCTATTATATATCTATATAAATCAATTTAAGACGCGTAATTATTATTTATCTATGCATTTATTTATTTATTTCCATGTTTATTTCAATATGTATTTATTCATTATATTTTAAATTATTTATGGATTTATTGAGTCATGCATTTATTTATTTCCATACTTACTTATTGACTGTATTTATTTTTACATTTATTTATTTATCTAATTATTTTCACATTTATTTGTTTATTCCTTCCTGTATTTCTTTTTCAATTTTGCATTAATTTATTCCTGTATTTTTTAAATTTTCATATTTATTTATTTCTATATTTATACATTTATTTCACTATTTCTGTATTTATTTATCTGTCATTTGTACATTTATTTATTCACTAATTTGACTAATAGTGCAGTTGTAGTATACCAGCATGGGGGGTGGTGCAGTAATGAATAATTAGTTGGTAAAGATCATACTGGACCAGAGTCAGAAGATACCAGATTCAAACAGGAGGCAGAAAAGGCGATTTGCAACACTGACCACACGAGACAAAGAGCTGTGAACTGTACCATGTATTTTTTCTTTGAAATTGACATGAAAGTAAAGACAATACAAAATAAAATTATTATAAACAGTATCCAATGTACAATACAACTCTACAAAGACACCTCAGTTACAGGTCCGCAACAAATGAATTCTTTCATCACTCTTTTTACTACTCTCCTGTCTGTCACCCTATTATAAGTAATCAAGACTCAAATCTCACTCTTGGGATCCAACATGAGGAAGGTAACACTATTAAAACCCCTGTTTCAATACTATCCATTAACAACTAGCTGCGACCTAACAACAGTTTACTATTCACCGTTTAGACAACACCACAGTCACCATAACCATTTACAATCATTGATGTTAATACTCAGTCCATTCACGTAATTCAGTGAGGGTTAAGATTCAGTCCTTCCACAAGCGCAGGGATGTGTCGAAGAGGAACTAAAAGGGTAAATGTCTTTTCCCAGCCAAATAAAAACAACAAATGGGGGTAAAATAAAAGTCTGGGCTTCGGGTCTGTGCAAGCGGTGTTAGCCTTATGCAGGTGATGTTTATCCTACCGCCGGGGCAGCATGGGATAAGGTCGGCAGTTTCTGGCTCAGGGATCTTCAGTCCAGGGATCTAGAGGTCTCGTCTGGGTCGGCTCGCCATCAAACTCCAAATCAACTCAAAAACCCTGAACTATTCGGGGGACCCTCTGCGCCACTCGTAAGGTTTCTCTTAGGAGGGCCCCTCACACACACATACATCTACATGCACTGAGCAGCAGGTCCTCTCCCTACAGTGTTACCAAGCGTCTGCTGTGCTGTTAACTCTTTGTGACCCGGGTTACACAGTCTAACATATATATTGTTGTACAATGTACGTTGCACATTCTTTTTATACTTTTGTTTATACTTTCTACTGTGAACTAAATTTTGCATATTCCTGCACAAGCTACTACTTCAAAAACTGAACTGCTCCTTTATTTTTAGTCAGATATATTGTACATTATATTTTACATATTTTTTAGAGCATTTTTTTCATATTTTAAATTTAATTTTCTTCTATTCTACATTTATGTTTCCTGATTTCTGCAGTAAACCAAAGCAAATTCCTTCTATCTACAAACTTGGCAATACACTGGAATCTGATTCTGATCTTTCAGGATGCAGTTTGTGTGCTGTTTAACAGTCTTCTCTGAGTGTGGCGGGATTTAAACAGACTGCAGCATCTATGAGTCTTTACATTACCTGCTTTTAAAGGTTCAGCTTTGACTTTTTCCTTTGGTTCCTTCTTGGGCTCCTTGGGAGCTGCCACTGCTGGAAAATTATGACACCAATAAGCCCTCAAGTTTTAGGCATATGTAAAGGTAAGTAGCTACTTTGAATATCAAATTTACTTTACTTATTGAACTAACAATCAATACAAAAGAATAAAAAACATGTTCATACCTTTCTTTGCAGGTTCTGGTTTGGCTTTCACCTTAGGAACTGCAGGAGCCTCTGTTATTGGGGAATATTCAAAAATATAATTCACTGGCTCATCTTAGCTTCACATTAAACATATAAAACCTGTCACTGTAAAATCCATCAAATACTAACCCTGAGGATAAAATGTCAATGTGACCTGTTCTTCTACACACTGTATCATCTCACCTGCTTTTGTAACATTAAGATGCTCTATCTTCCTCATGTTTAGGTGTATATAAAGAGAAGTGTGACACTTTCTGTGAATCAAAATCACTTTGACACAAAAGAATAAAGCATGTTCATACCTTTCTTTGCAGGTTCTGGTTTGGCTTTCACCGTAGGAACTGCAGGAGCCTCTGTTATTGGGGAATACACACAAAAATTACATTATTGTCATTCTTGAATGAGCCGATTTAGGATTGGTGAAAAAGTAGTTAACAATAGGTCATGCAGCATCTGAACACCAAAAAATTAAAATCATTTCAAGAATAAAGCATGTTCATACCTTTCTTTGCAGGTTCTGGTTTGACTTTCACCTTAGGAACTGCAGGAGCCTCTGTTATTGGGGAATATTCAAAAATATAATTCATTAACTCATCTTAGCTTCACATTAAATATGTGACCGGTGTCAGTGCAAATTCATGAAATGTTGACCACAATGATAAAACGTCACTGTATCATCTCACCTGCTTTTGTAACATTAAGATGTTCCTTCTTCAGGACAGACACAACCTTCTTCTTGACTACTCTAACCCTACTTGCAGCCTTTTTGGGTGCAGCGTCTGAAATAAAGATACAAAACTGATTGAACATTTTCACATAAATTACACACAAGACAGAAATACACCCTTCACTGAACAAAGGAAACCTATCAGTCCATGTAGCCCTCTGTAGGCTTCAGTCAAGCCTCTACATTGAGACCGTCTGCATTGTAGTACAACTAATGCTTACAAATATTGTATTGTGATGAAAACTGCATATGTATCACAACAGTATTTTCAGTCATGCTCCCAGTATGGCTCTATGGATGGTTTTACATTACCTGCTTTTAAAGGTTCAGCTTTGACTTTTTCCTTTGGTTCCTTCTTGGGCTCCTTGGGAGCTGCCACTGCTGGAAAATTATGACACCAATAAGCCCTCAAGTTTTAGGTATATGTAAAGATAAGTGTCAATATGTAGTGTCATATGACACCATCACTGAATACATATTTTTTGTATGTGTTCTACTCATAAAAAGTCAGTGTCATTAAACAAACCCTTGAACCCTTTAGTCTATTTAGCCTTCTGTAGGCTTCAGTCAGGCCTCTCTTTCGGACCTTCTATGAGTAAACATTTCTTAAGTGTAGCTTATACTTACAAATACTGTACTGTAATAAAAACATGTATTGTAACAGCATTATTAGCCTTGCCATCAGTATGGCTCTATGGATGGTTTTACATTACCTGCTTTTACAGGTTCAGCTTTGACTTTTTCCTTTGGTTCCTTCTTGGGCTCCTTGGGAGCTGCCACTGCTGGAAAATTATGACACCAATAAGCCCTCAAGTTTTAGGTAAGTGTCTTTCTGTGCTCTGCATATAAAAAGTTTGTATCAATAAAAAAAAAAATGCCTAATATCTAAACTCATCTATGACTGAGTTTAATTCTTGAATGGGTTGAAATCTTTACTGAATTAAATATTGGTGAGATATTAGGATGTATCACACAGCTGGGCAGATGCACACACTTAGCTTACTCTGAGCAGACCAAATAATACTCTTAACCATCACTACAAGGATGTAGCTGCCTGCTCTGTTGAGGTTTATTTGTTAATGGCCTCATTTCTTAGCTTTGTGAGGAAGTTATGAGAAGCCAAGGCATTTAGTGTGTTACAATGGTTAAGTGAAATGAAACATTATGAAACATCTAAACAGCTAAAGAAAGAAACAAACCAAAAAACCATCAGATCCAGTTTATTATTACAATAAATTGACAATCAACAGAAAAGTATAAAAGCATGTTCATACCTTTCTTTGTAGGTTCTGGTTTGGCTTTCACCTCAGGAACTGCAGGAGCCTCTGTTATTGGGGAATATTCAAAAATATAATTTATTAGTTTCCTGTTGAACATGTAATGGTATCAACAGAAACCACAAAATAAACTACAGTTGCAAACTATGCAAATCTGCAAAAAAAGAATTAAAGAGAGTGAAAAATACATTGTGAGAAAAATGAAAGTACCAAAGAAAAACAAACCTTTTGGTGGAGTCACTGGCTCGGCCTTCTTCTCCTTAGGAACCTCAGCTTCTAAAGTAAATAATAACAAAAATCAGTCAAGTTGGCCATTTACAGCGATTTGTTATCATGTTATTATACAACTGATGCAGTTTATTCACACACACAGATTCCTGACACCACATATCACACATATTATGTATCATTTTACTAATCACTTAAACTACCTTTTATTGTTGGTGCAGGTTTGACTTTCTCTTTTGGAGTTGCAGGCTCTGTGAAAGAGAAAACATCAGTGTGTGAAAATATACAGCTGAAAAAAGATTACATGGAAAGTTCCAGTTTTGCTAATGTTTAAAATCAGATGAAGTTTATTTTTTACAATAAAATGACAATCAGCACAAAAGAAAAAAGCATGTTCATACCTTTCTTTGCAGGTTCTGGTTTGGCTTTCACCTCAGGAACTGCAGGAGCCTCTGTTATTGGGGAATATTCAAAAATATAATTCATTAGCTCATCTTAGCTTCACATTAAACATGTAAAATGTGTCACTGTAAAATCCATGAAATACTAACCACGAGGATAAAATGTCAATGTGACCTGTTCTTCACCACACTGTATCATCTCACCTGCTTTCGTAACATTAAGATGCTCTATCTTCCTCAAGTTTACGTGTATATAAAGAGAAGTGTGACATTTTTTCAGAATATATTGAATATAGATTTTTTATGTGTAATACACAAATATTGGGCATACTATCTAATTATATTGTCATTCTTGAATGGATTGGTTAAGGATTGGTGAGATATTAGTTCATGGAGCATCTGAACAGCTAAAAAAAATTAAAATCACTTTGACACAAAAGAATAAAGCATGTTCATACCTTTCTTTGCAGGTTCTGGTTTGGCTTTCACCTCAGGAACTGCAGGAGCCTCTGTTATTGGGGAATACACACAAAAATTACATTATTGTCATTCCTGAATGAACCGATTAAAGATTGGTGAAATATTAGTTAGTCATGGAGCATCTGAACATCTTAAAAAAATGAAAAAAAAAAAAAAAAAGTAAATAAATAACACTTTAATTTTACAATCAACAATCAACACAAAAGAGTAAAAGCATGTTCATACCTTTCTTTGCAGGTTCTGGTTTGGCTTTCACCTTAGGAACTGCAGGAGCCTCTGTTATTGGGAAATATTCAAAAATATAATTCATTAGCTCATCTTAGCTTCACATTAAACATGTGACCAGTGTCACTGCTAATTGATGAAATACTAACCACAAGAATAGAAACCACCTGTTCTTCTACACACAGTATCATCTCACCTGCTTTTGTAACATTAAGATGTTCCTTCTTCAGGACAGACACAACCTTCTTCTTGACTACTCTAACCCTCCTTGCAGCCTTTTTGGGTGCAGCGTCTGAAATACAAAGACAAAACTCATTGAACAGTTGCACATAAATTATACAGAAGACAGAAATATACCCTTCATTGAACAAAGGAAACCATTCTCTTAGCATTATTTAGGCTTCAGTCAAGCCTCTATTTTGGGATCTCCTGCACTGCACAGTACAACTTATGCTCACAAATATGGTACTGTAATAAAAACATGTATTGTAACAGCATTATTAGCTTTGTTCCCAGTATGGCTCTATGGATGGTTTTACATTACCTGCTTTTAAAGGTTCAGCTTTGACTTTTTCCTTTGGTTCCTTCTTGGGCTCCTTGGGAGCTGCCACTGCTGGAAAATTATGACACCAATAAGCCCTCAGGTTTTAGATATATGTAACGATACATTTTTATTATATGACCCTTTTGGTAACACTTTGTGATAACCGTGATTAAGAAATGCTAGATTGGTGGATAATTAAACTTTACTTATTTTACTTTTAACAAACAATAACATGATGTTTACTAATAAATGTTATTTTGACAGTTTATTGTTGCACACATCATTATATTTTACATAGTATGGATGGTTTTACATTACCTGCTTTTAAAGGTTCAGCTTTGACTTTTTCCTTTGGTTCCTTCTTGGGCTCCTTGGGAGCTGCCACTGCTGGGAAATTATGACATCAGCAAACAAAAAATATGCGTAATATCTAACTAGAATTAAGTTGAGTTTAATTCTTGAATGGGTTGAATTATTGAATGAATTAAAGATTGATGAGATATTAGGTTATGGAGCATCTAAACACCTAAAAAAAAATTAATTCACTTTATTATTATTTTTACAAATGTATTGATAATTGAAAGAATAAAGCATGCTCATACCTTTCTTTGCAGGTTCTGGTTTGGCTTTCACCGTAGGAACTGCAGGAGCCTCTGTTATTGGGGAATATTCAAAAATATTATTCATTAGTTTCACGTGAAACATGTATTGTGAATGCTCTATGAAAACTGTAATTCCAGCAGACTGTATATGAGACAAGGACAACACTAAAAACATTTAAAAAACATTTAAATTCAATATGTGTGAGATCGACATCTGTCATGTTGTTTTGCCTTGAACATTTTCATGACATTATTTTAGTCCCAGTGTCATTAAGCTCTCAGTCTTTTTTAGGGTAATGACAGTTCATTTTTGACAGTCACTTTTTTAAAACTAATTCTTGAATGCAAGAGCTAACATTAATTCGTCAATATATAGTGAAGCATGTAAATGTTCAAGTCAAACGTAAAATGACGACAACACTAGTGGAACAACAATTTTGGGGCTATTTGCTTAACAAGTCTTCAAAAGTTTTGAACATTACTGTTTTCATCAGCAGCCACATGTTAAAGCTACTAAAGCTCTACAGAAACACACTTGTGCTGCATACCTTTCTTCTTTACAGCAGCTTTAGGTTTTGCTTTGATAACAGGTGTTAGAGAAAACATTCATGGACCTATAAATTCTTATTCATACAATTACCACGAAGTAAACTGATGCTGCAAAACTACAGTGTAATTAAAAATAAAAATACATTGTGAAATAAATTACAACATAAAAGAAAAACAAACCTTTTGGTGGAGTCACTGGCTCGGCCTTCTTCTCCTTAGGAACCTCAGCTTCTATAGGAAATAATAATTAAAAAAACACCTGTAAAGCCAGGGGTCCGGCACCATTTTTAAAGTCTAATTCAGTGCTTTTTGAGACATTCTTAACCCTCATGCTTCATTATGGACATTTTTGTCCTGAAGGGTAGTAAATTAAACTAATGCCTGAGGGTTAAAAATGTTGAAACAATTTGTGCACACTTTCTCTTCATGTTGCAGACTGAAAATACAGTCTGAACATTACTGTTTTCATCAGCAGCCACATGTTAAAGCTACTAAAGCTCTACAGAAACACACTTGTGCTGCATACCTTTCTTCTTTACAGCAGCTTTAGGTTTTGCTTTGATAACAGGTGCTAGAGAAAAAGTCATGGCTCTATTGTGTATACAGTTAAGTCACAAATACACTGTAAAATAAATGAAAGTACCAAAGAAAAACAAACCTTTTGGTGGAGTCACTGGCTCGGCCTTCTTCTCCTTAGGAACTTCAGCTTCTATAGGAAATAATAACAAAAACATCTGTCAAGCCAGGGGGTCTTACATCATTTTTAAAGTCTGATTCAGTTATTTTTAGACCTTTTTAAGACCTAAACAAACACTATTTATGACTAAAACAAATGTTGAAACAATTTGTGCACACTTTCTCTTCATGTTGCAGACTGAAAATACAGTCTGAACATTACTGTTTTCATCAGCAGCCACATGTTAAAGCTACTGAAGCTCTACAGAAACACACTTGTGCTGCATATCTTTCTTCTTTACAGCAGCTTTAGGTTTTGCTTTGATAACAGGTGCTAGAGAAATACATGTCTATAGTCAGAGACCACAAAGTACACTACGAACTATGCAAATCTACTAAAAAAAATGAAGGGAGTGAAAAATGCATTGTGACATGAATGAAAGTACCAAAGAAAAACAAACCTTTTTTGGGAGTCACTGGCTCGGCCTTCTTCTCCTTAGGAACCTCAGCTTCTAAAGCAAATAACAAAAACAAACACATCAGTCAAGTTAAAGGTGTTGCATCACTTTTAAAAGTTAAATTCAAAGCTTTTAAATACATTTTTAAGGCCTCATTAAATATGATTTTATACCCCAAAAATGTTGAAACAATTTGTGCACACTCTTTCTTCATGTTGCAGACTGAAAATGCAGTCTGAACATTACTGTTTTCATCAGTAGCCACATGTTAAAGCTACTAAAGCTCTACAGAAACACACTTGTGCTGCATACCTTTCTTCTTTACAGCAGCTTTAGGTTTTGCTTTGATAACAGGTGTTAGAGGAATACACGGCCCCGAGTCAGGAACCACCAGTGAAAAATACATTGTGACATAAATGAAGGTACAAAAGAAAAACAAACCTTTTTTGGGAGTCACTGGCTCGGCCTTCCTCTCCTTAGGAACCTCAGCTTCTTAAACAAATAATAAAAATTCTAAAATGAGTCAAGTTGGTCATTTACAGCACTTTGTTTTCATGATGCAGTTTATTCACACACACACAAAGATTCCTGACACCACAACATTCAAGCATCTAGACTAAAAATTTTGTTAAATAAGCAGACCGAAAACATACAAGTTAGTACGGATGATATTTTATTGGTGAAATTAAATTAATCACTGTAGCTACCTTTTTTTATTGGTGCTGGTTTGACTTTTTCTTTTGGAGTTACAGGCTCTGTGACAGAGAAAACATCAGTGTGTGAAAACATACAGCTGAAAAAAGATTATGTAGACAGTTTCAGTTTTGTTCAGGTTTGAAATACAAAATCTTAAAAAAATGGATGTTGTGCAGCACTTTGAATGATAAAGGCAGACTATAGTCGTGATCTGATAGAGAGTACTTTAGATCCGTGTTTGAAACACAATATAAATGTATTATTATTAGAACAATAGTTTTAAATGCTGGTGTACTCCTCTTGATTCATGATATTTTAAGAATCCCATGGTGTTTAAGATCTCACACACTGCATCTTAAAACGTTAACATATAAGAATAAGAAAAACAGAATAAGAATAACTTTATTCATCCCCAAGGGGAAATTCAATTATCTGTCAGCTCATCTATTATATGTCAAAGCATTATAAAGCCTGATGTGACGAGTGTGGCCTGTCACTTACCTGCTTTAGTAACATTCACATGTTCCTTGTGCTTTTTTACAGCTTTCACCTTAACTGCCTTCTTGGGTTCTTCAGCTGAAATGAGAAGCAGAAAGACGACCAATGAGGACTGTCTGCTTTTTTAATCCTTTAGTTTTATTTATACATAATGTAAGAAAAAAATGTACGAATTCAACCTAATTTTTGATCAAATTCAGCACGACAAATAAAGTTATTGTGACACAATATTTTTGTGTATAGAACACTGATTTAATTATATTTTCAAACTCCAATATTTATGTTAATCTGACAGAATTAAATGTTCAAATGACAAAAAACGTTCTGTTGAACTGACATAGATTTCTAGTCAGACAAGGGTCATGTGACACATTGATATAAATGGGGTATAAAGATGTTGATGTGAGGATTTCCAGTGTTTCAGTTACAGTTTCTTTAATGTTTTCAGTCCTCTCTGAGTGAGACAGGATGTAAATGGACTGCAGCATCTGTGAGTCTTTACATTACCTGCTTTTAAAGGTTCAGCTTTGACTTTTTCCTTTGGTTCCTTCTTGGGCTCCTTGGGAGCTGCCACTGCTGGAAAATTATGACACCAATAAGCCCTCAAGTTTTAGGTAAGTGTTTATTATGTTATATCTTTGAATATCAAATTTACTTTACTTATTGAAAAGACAATTGGCACAAAAGAAAAAAGCATGTTCATACCTTTCTTTGCAGGTTCTGGTTTGGCTTTCACCTTAGGAACTGCAGGGGCCTCTGTTATTGGGGAATATTCAAAAATATAATTCATTAGCTCATCTTAGCTTCACATAAACTGTGTCACTGCAAAGTCATCAAATACCAACCACAAGGATACAATGTCACTGTGACCTGTTCTTCTACACACTGTATCATCTCACCTGCTTTTGTCACATTAAGATGTTCCTTCTTCAGGACAGACACAACCTTCTTCTTGACTACTCTAACCCTCCTTGCAGCCTTTTTGGGTGCAGCATCTGAAATGAAAAGACAAAACTGAACTGTTTCACAAAAAATATACAGATAAAGGAAATATACCCTTCATTAAACACAGGAAACCTATCAGTCTATTTTGACTTATTTAGGCTCCAGCTGGGCCTCTCTTTGGGAGCTTCTATGAGTAAACATTTTTACAATACAACTTATGCTAACAAATATTGTACTGTAATGTATCATAAAAATATTTCTAGCTATGCTCTCAGTATGGCTCTATGGATGGTTTTACATTACCTGCTTTTAAAGGTTCAGCTTTGACTTTTTCCTTTGGTTCCTTCTTGGGCTCCTTGGGAGCTGCCACTGCTGGAAAATTATGACACCAATAAGCCCTCAAGTTTTAGATATATGTAACGATAAGTGTTTCTTATGTGACAGCGTCTTTGAACATATATATTTATGTGTACGACACAAAAATTATGGTGTGCATCATATCTAAGAATATTTTAGTTCTTGAATGGTCTGATGAAAGATTGGTGAGATAGTAGGTTATGGAGCATCTGAACAGCTAAAAAATATCTAACTCACTTCACTTACTGAATTGATAATAGACACAAAAGAATAAAGCATGCTCATACCTTTCTTTGCAGGTTCTGGTTTGGCTTTCACCGTAGGAACTGCAGGAGCCTCTGTTATTAGGGAATACACACAAAAATTACATTATTGTCATTCTTGAATGAGCCGATAAAGTATTGGTGAGATATTAGGTCATGGAGCATCACTTTATTTTAACAAACAACAATCAGCACAAAATAATAAAAAACATGCTCATACCTTTCTTTGCAGGTTCTGGTTTGGCTTTCACCTCAGGAACTGCAGGAGCCTCTGTTATTGGGAAATATTCAAAAATATAATCCATTAGCTCATCTTAGCTTCACATTAAACTGTGTCACTGCAAAATCATGAAATGCTAAACACAAGGATGACATTTCACTGTATCATCTCACCTGCTTTTGTAACATTAAGATGTTCCTTCTTCAGGGCAGACACAACCTTCTTCTTGACTACTCTAACCCTCCTTGCAGCCTTTTTGGGTGCAGCGTCTGAAATACAAAGACAAAGCTTATTGAACAGTTTCACATAAATTATACAGAGGAAAGAAAAATACCCTTCATTGAACGAAGGAAACCTATCAGTCTATTTAGCCCTCTTCAGTCATCCCTCTATTTTTGGACCTCCTGCACTGAAGTACAGCTGCTGCTTACAAATACTGTATTGTGATGAAAACCATTTATGTATCACAACAGTTGCAGTATGGCTCTATGGATGGTTTTACATTACCTGCTTTTAAAGGTTCAGCTTTGACTTTTTCCTTTGGTTCCTTCTTGGGCTCCTTGGGAGCTGCCACTGCTGGAAAATTATGACACCAATAAGCCCTCAAGTTTTAGGTATATGTAAAGAAGTGTCATGTAAAACCTCGATTGCATACATATTTTTTCATGTGTTCTACACATAAATAGTCAGTGTAAACAAACAAACAAAGAAACAAAAAACATCTAGTTTAGTTTGATGAGATATAAGGTTATGGAGCATAAGCAGCTAAAAATGATCAAATTTACTTTACTAAATAAACTGACAGTTGACATCAAAGAATGAAAGCATGTTCATACCTTTCTTTGCAGGTTCTGGTTTGGCTTTCACCTCAGGAACTGCAGGAGCCTCTGGTATTGGGGAATATTCAAAAATAAAATTCATTAGTTCATCTTAGCTTCATACTGAATATCTTCACTGTGTCACTGCCAATTCACGATATACTAACCACGAGGATAAAATGTCAATGTGACCTGTTCTTCTACACACTGTATCATCTCACCTGCTTTTGTAACATTAAGACGCTCTATCTTCCTCAAGTGTAGGTGTTTATAAAGAGAAGTGTTTATTGTGACGCTTGATATCAAAACTCAACCATCTATCTATTTGTTTAAGTATTGAATGGGTTGAAATCTTTAATTAATTAAAGATTGGTGAGATATCAGGTTATAAAACATCTCAACAGCTAATAGATTCACTTTATTTTTTATAATGAATTGACAATCAACACAAAAGAATAAAACATGTTCATACCTTTCTTTGCAGGTTCTGGTTTGGCTTTCACCTTAGGAACTGCAGGAGCCTCTGTTATTGGGAAATACACCAAAAATTACATTTTTGTCATTCTTGAATGAGCCGATTAAGGAGGAGGTGAGATATTAGTTAACAATAGGACATGGAGCATCTGAACATCTAAAAGAAATTATAATCGCTTTAATATAAAAGCATGTTCATACCTTTCTTTGCAGGTTCTGGTTTGGCTTTCGCCTTAGGAACTGCAGGAGCCTCTGTTATTGGGGAATATTCACAAATATAATTCATTAGCTCATCTTAAACATGTAAAATGTGTCAGTGCAACGTCATGAAATGCTGACCATGAGGTTGAAATGCACGGTATCATCTCACCTGCTTTTGTAACATTAAGATGTTCCTTCTTCAGGACAGACACAACCTTCTTCTTGACTACTCTAACCCTCCTTGCAGCCTTTTTGAGTGCAGTGTCTGAAATACAAAGACAAAACTGATTAAAAAATTGCACATACATTATACAGAGGAAAGAAAAAATACCTTTAATTGAACAAAAGAAACCTATCAGTCTGTTGAGCCTTACTAAGGCTCCTGTCAAGCCTCTATTTTGCGACCTCCTGTGCTGAAGTACAACTAATGTTTACAGATATTGTACTGTGATGAAAACTATATATGTATTACAACAGCTGCAGTATGGCTCTATGGATGTTTTTACATTACCTGCTTTTAAAGGTTCAGCTTTGACTTTTTCCTTTGGTTCCTTCTTGGGCTCCTTGGGAGCTGCCACTGCTGGAAAATTATGACACCAATAAGCCCTCAAGTTTTAGGTATATGTAAAGGTAAGTGTTAATATGTAGTGTTATGTAAAACCTTTATTAAATAAATATTTTTTCATGTGTTCTTTACATAAGAGGTCAGTGTCAACAACCAAAAACAATTTAGTTGAGTAGTTGGGAATCTGCTAAAAACAAAACAAAACCATAAAATCACTGTATTTTTTTTTTTCAAATGTATTGACAACTGAAAGAATAAAACATGTTCATACCTTTCTTTGCAGGTTCTGGTTTGGCTTTCACCTTAGGAACTGCAGGAGCCTCTGTTACTGGGGAATATTCAAAAATAAAATGCATTAGCTCATCTTAGCTTCACATGTTAGCACTCTATGAAAACTGTAATTCTTGTAGACTGAGACAATGACAACAAGAAAAGATTAAAACATGTTGAAATTCAATATGTCAGATTGATATCTATCATGTTGATTTTTCTTGAACATCTTCATTGCATCATTTTACTCCCAATCCAGAAATAAGGTAGTGTTAAGAACATGCATCTCTGTCTTTTTTAGGTAATGGCGTTCATTCTTTATATAATCAAGCTGTTGTTTTTAAAACAAATTTTTGAGTGCAAGTGCTAAAACTAATTTGTCAGCCTATAGAAAGGCATGTAACTGTAACAACACATTTTGATTTTGGGTTGTTACCTCAACATGTCTTTGAAATTAGATTAATAATGATATTCTGAACATTACTGTTTCATCAGCAGCCACATGTTAAAGCTACTAAAGCTCTACATGCTTTAATAACAGGTGCTAGAGAAAACATTCATGGCTCTATTATATATACAGTTAAGTCAGAAATCGTGAAATTAACTAACAAATGAAAGTACCAAAGAAAAACAAACCTTTTTTGGGAGTCACTGGCTCGGCCTTCTTCTCCTTGAGAACCTCAGCTTCTAGAGCAAAAGATAAAAAACAAAAATATCAGTCAAGTTCAGGGTGTTGTATCACTTTATGGTCTAATTCAGTGCTTTCAAATAATTTTAAAGGCCTCATAAAAAAATTATTTGAAACTCCAAAAATGTTGAAACAATTTGTGCACACTTTCTCTTCATGTTGCAGACTGAAAATACAGTCTGAACATTACTGTTTTCATCAGCAGCCACATGTTAAAGCTACTGAAGCTCTACAGAAACACACTTGTGCTGCATATCTTTCTTCTTTACAGCAGCTTTAGGTTTTGCTTTGATAACAGGTGCTAGAGAAATACATGTCTATAGTCAGAGACCACAAAGTACACTACGAACTATGCAAATCTACTAAAAAAAATGAAGGGAGTGAAAAATGCATTGTGACATGAATGAAAGTACCAAAGAAAAACAAACCTTTTTTGGGAGTCACTGGCTCGGCCTTCTTCTCCTTAGGAACCTCAGCTTCTAAAGCAAATAACAAAAACAAACACATCAGTCAAGTTAAAGGTGTTGCATCACTTTTAAAAGTTAAATTCAAAGCTTTTAAATACATTTTTAAGGCCTCATTAAATATGATTTTATACCCCAAAAATGTTGAAACAATTTGTGCACACTCTTTCTTCATGTTGCAGACTGAAAATGCAGTCTGAACATTACTGTTTTCATCAGTAGCCACATGTTAAAGCTACTAAAGCTCTACAGAAACACACTTGTGCTGCATACCTTTCTTCTTTACAGCAGCTTTAGGTTTTGTTTTGATAACAGGTGCTAGAGAAACATTCAAGGTTCTATTATGTATACTGATAAGTCAGAAATCATGAAATTAACTAAAAAATGAAAGTACCAAAAAAACAAACCTTTTTTGGGAGTCACTGGCTCGGCCTTCTTCTCCTTAGGAACCTCAGCTTCTAAAGTAAATAATAAAAACAAAAAATATAAGTCAAGTTAAGGGTGTTGCATCACTTTTAAAGTCGAATTCAATGCTTTTTAAGACATTTTTAAGGCCTCATTAAATATTTTTACAAACAACAATTGACACAAAAGCATGTTCATACCTTTCTTTGCAGGTTCTGGTTTGGCTTTCACCTTAGGAACTGCAGGAGCCTCTGTTATTGGGGAATATTCAAAAATATAATTCATTAGCTCATCTTAGCTTCACATAAACTGTGTCACTGCAAAGTCATCAAATACCAACCACAAGGATACAATGTCACTGTGACCTGTTCTTCTACACACTGTATCATCTCACCTGCTTTTGTCACATTAAGATGTTCCTTCTTCAGGACAGACACAACCTTCTTCTTGACTACTCTAACCCTCCTTGCAGCCTTTTTGGGTGCAGCATCTGAAATGAAAAGACAAAACTGAACTGTTTCACAAAAAATATACAGATAAAGGAAATATACCCTTCATTAAACACAGGAAACCTATCAGTCTATTTTGACTTATTTAGGCTCCAGCTGGGCCTCTCTTTGGGAGCTTCTATGAGTAAACATTTTTACAATACAACTTATGCTAACAAATATTGTACTGTAATGTATCATAAAAATATTTCTAGCTATGCTCTCAGTATGGCTCTATGGATGGTTTTACATTACCTGCTTTTAAAGGTTCAGCTTTGACTTTTTCCTTTGGTTCCTTCTTGGGCTCCTTGGGAGCTGCCACTGCTGGAAAATTATGACACCAATAAGCCCTCAAGTTTTAGATATATGTAACGATAAGTGTTTCTTATGTGACAGCGTCTTTGAACATATATATTTATGTGTACGACACAAAAATTATGGTGTGCATCATATCTAAGAATATTTTAGTTCTTGAATGGTCTGATGAAAGATTGGTGAGATAGTAGGTTATGGAGCATCTGAACAGCTAAAAAATATCTAACTCACTTCACTTACTGAATTGATAATAGACACAAAAGAATAAAGCATGCTCATACCTTTCTTTGCAGGTTCTGGTTTGGCTTTCACCGTAGGAACTGCAGGAGCCTCTGTTATTAGGGAATACACACAAAAATTACATTATTGTCATTCTTGAATGAGCCGATAAAGTATTGGTGAGATATTAGGTCATGGAGCATCACTTTATTTTAACAAACAACAATCAGCACAAAATAATAAAAAACATGCTCATACCTTTCTTTGCAGGTTCTGGTTTGGCTTTCACCTCAGGAACTGCAGGAGCCTCTGTTATTGGGAAATATTCAAAAATATAATCCATTAGCTCATCTTAGCTTCACATTAAACTGTGTCACTGCAAAATCATGAAATGCTAAACACAAGGATGACATTTCACTGTATCATCTCACCTGCTTTTGTAACATTAAGATGTTCCTTCTTCAGGGCAGACACAACCTTCTTCTTGACTACTCTAACCCTCCTTGCAGCCTTTTTGGGTGCAGCGTCTGAAATACAAAGACAAAGCTTATTGAACAGTTTCACATAAATTATACAGAGGAAAGAAAAATACCCTTCATTGAACGAAGGAAACCTATCAGTCTATTTAGCCCTCTTCAGTCATCCCTCTATTTTTGGACCTCCTGCACTGAAGTACAGCTGCTGCTTACAAATACTGTATTGTGATGAAAACCATTTATGTATCACAACAGTTGCAGTATGGCTCTATGGATGGTTTTACATTACCTGCTTTTAAAGGTTCAGCTTTGACTTTTTCCTTTGGTTCCTTCTTGGGCTCCTTGGGAGCTGCCACTGCTGGAAAATTATGACACCAATAAGCCCTCAAGTTTTAGGTATATGTAAAGAAGTGTCATGTAAAACCTCGATTGCATACATATTTTTTCATGTGTTCTACACATAAATAGTCAGTGTAAACAAACAAACAAAGAAACAAAAAACATCTAGTTTAGTTTGATGAGATATAAGGTTATGGAGCATAAGCAGCTAAAAATGATCAAATTTACTTTACTAAATAAACTGACAGTTGACATCAAAGAATGAAAGCATGTTCATACCTTTCTTTGCAGGTTCTGGTTTGGCTTTCACCTCAGGAACTGCAGGAGCCTCTGGTATTGGGGAATATTCAAAAATAAAATTCATTAGTTCATCTTAGCTTCATACTGAATATCTTCACTGTGTCACTGCCAATTCACGATATACTAACCACGAGGATAAAATGTCAATGTGACCTGTTCTTCTACACACTGTATCATCTCACCTGCTTTTGTAACATTAAGACGCTCTATCTTCCTCAAGTGTAGGTGTTTATAAAGAGAAGTGTTTATTGTGACGCTTGATATCAAAACTCAACCATCTATCTATTTGTTTAAGTATTGAATGGGTTGAAATCTTTAATTAATTAAAGATTGGTGAGATATCAGGTTATAAAACATCTCAACAGCTAATAGATTCACTTTATTTTTTATAATGAATTGACAATCAACACAAAAGAATAAAACATGTTCATACCTTTCTTTGCAGGTTCTGGTTTGGCTTTCACCTTAGGAACTGCAGGAGCCTCTGTTATTGGGAAATACACCAAAAATTACATTTTTGTCATTCTTGAATGAGCCGATTAAGGAGGAGGTGAGATATTAGTTAACAATAGGACATGGAGCATCTGAACATCTAAAAGAAATTATAATCGCTTTAATATAAAAGCATGTTCATACCTTTCTTTGCAGGTTCTGGTTTGGCTTTCGCCTTAGGAACTGCAGGAGCCTCTGTTATTGGGGAATATTCACAAATATAATTCATTAGCTCATCTTAAACATGTAAAATGTGTCAGTGCAACGTCATGAAATGCTGACCATGAGGTTGAAATGCACGGTATCATCTCACCTGCTTTTGTAACATTAAGATGTTCCTTCTTCAGGACAGACACAACCTTCTTCTTGACTACTCTAACCCTCCTTGCAGCCTTTTTGAGTGCAGTGTCTGAAATACAAAGACAAAACTGATTAAAAAATTGCACATACATTATACAGAGGAAAGAAAAAATACCTTTAATTGAACAAAAGAAACCTATCAGTCTGTTGAGCCTTACTAAGGCTCCTGTCAAGCCTCTATTTTGCGACCTCCTGTGCTGAAGTACAACTAATGTTTACAGATATTGTACTGTGATGAAAACTATATATGTATTACAACAGCTGCAGTATGGCTCTATGGATGTTTTTACATTACCTGCTTTTAAAGGTTCAGCTTTGACTTTTTCCTTTGGTTCCTTCTTGGGCTCCTTGGGAGCTGCCACTGCTGGAAAATTATGACACCAATAAGCCCTCAAGTTTTAGGTATATGTAAAGGTAAGTGTTAATATGTAGTGTTATGTAAAACCTTTATTAAATAAATATTTTTTCATGTGTTCTTTACATAAGAGGTCAGTGTCAACAACCAAAAACAATTTAGTTGAGTAGTTGGGAATCTGCTAAAAACAAAACAAAACCATAAAATCACTGTATTTTTTTTTTTCAAATGTATTGACAACTGAAAGAATAAAACATGTTCATACCTTTCTTTGCAGGTTCTGGTTTGGCTTTCACCTTAGGAACTGCAGGAGCCTCTGTTACTGGGGAATATTCAAAAATAAAATGCATTAGCTCATCTTAGCTTCACATGTTAGCACTCTATGAAAACTGTAATTCTTGTAGACTGAGACAATGACAACAAGAAAAGATTAAAACATGTTGAAATTCAATATGTCAGATTGATATCTATCATGTTGATTTTTCTTGAACATCTTCATTGCATCATTTTACTCCCAATCCAGAAATAAGGTAGTGTTAAGAACATGCATCTCTGTCTTTTTTAGGTAATGGCGTTCATTCTTTATATAATCAAGCTGTTGTTTTTAAAACAAATTTTTGAGTGCAAGTGCTAAAACTAATTTGTCAGCCTATAGAAAGGCATGTAACTGTAACAACACATTTTGATTTTGGGTTGTTACCTCAACATGTCTTTGAAATTAGATTAATAATGATATTCTGAACATTACTGTTTCATCAGCAGCCACATGTTAAAGCTACTAAAGCTCTACATGCTTTAATAACAGGTGCTAGAGAAAACATTCATGGCTCTATTATATATACAGTTAAGTCAGAAATCGTGAAATTAACTAACAAATGAAAGTACCAAAGAAAAACAAACCTTTTTTGGGAGTCACTGGCTCGGCCTTCTTCTCCTTGAGAACCTCAGCTTCTAGAGCAAAAGATAAAAAACAAAAATATCAGTCAAGTTCAGGGTGTTGTATCACTTTATGGTCTAATTCAGTGCTTTCAAATAATTTTAAAGGCCTCATAAAAAAATTATTTGAAACTCCAAAAATGTTGAAACAATTTGTGCACACTTTCTCTTCATGTTGCAGACTGAAAATACAGTCTGAACATTACTGTTTTCATCAGCAGCCACATGTTAAAGCTACTAAAGCTCTACAGAAACACACTTGTGCTGCATACCTTTCTTCTTTACAGCAGCTTTAGGTTTTGCTTTGATAACAGGTGCTAGAGAAACATTCAAGGTTCTATTATGTATACTGATAAGTCAGAAATCATGAAATTAACTAAAAAATGAAAGTACCAAAAAAACAAACCTTTTTTGGGAGTCACTGGCTCGGCCTTCTTCTCCTTAGGAACCTCAGCTTCTAAAGTAAATAATAAAAACAAAAAATATAAGTCAAGTTAAGGGTGTTGCATCACTTTTAAAGTCGAATTCAATGCTTTTTAAGACATTTTTAAGGCCTCATTAAATATTTTTACAAACAACAATTGACACAAAAGCATGTTCATACCTTTCTTTGCAGGTTCTGGTTTGGCTTTCACCTCAGGAACTGCAGGAGCCTCTGTTATTGGGGAATATTCAAAAATATAATTCATTAGCTCATATTAGCTTCACATTAAACATGTAATGTAAGTAGCTAGTCTATGAAAACTGCAGTTTTTGTAGACTGTTTGAGACAATGACAGCTAGAAAAGATTAAAAGACGGTGAAATTCAATATTCAAACTAATTCAATTCAGTTCAATTTAATTCAAAATTCAATCTCAAATTAATAACTATCACAGTGTTCTTCCTTGAACATTTTTATTGTACTACTTTATGACCATTCCAAAAGTAAAGCACTGTGAAAAAAACATGCATCTAAGTTTTATGTGTTTTTTTTAAATGACAATGACGATTACATTATTTCTTAATGATTAGGCCTATGTCATTACTCAGAGACTGAGTGATGACAATCCACTACTTGTATAATTCAGCTATTAAAAAAAAAAAAAAGGCAGTAAAACTAATTTGTCTGCCTATAGCAAAGCATGTAACTGTAACAACACATTTTGATTTTAGGTTGTTACCTTAACATGTCTTTGAAATCATATTACTGACAATATTCTGAAGATTACTATTTCTACAATACTATTTGCACACTTTCTCTTCATGTTGCAGACTGAAAATGCAGTCTGAACATTACTGTTTTCATCAGCAGCCACATGTTAAAGCTACTAAAGCTCTACAGAAACACACTTGTGCTGCATACCTTTCTTCTTTACAGCAGCTTTAGGTTTTGCTTTGATAACAGGTGCTAGAGAAAACATTCATGGCTCTATTATATATACAGTTCAGTCAGAAATCGTGAAATTAACTAACAAATGAAAGTACCAAAGAAAAACAAACCTTTTTTGGGAGTCACCGGCTCGGCCTTCTTCTCCTTGAGAACCTCAGCTTCTAGAGCAAAAAATAAAAAACAAAAATATCAGTCAAGTTAAGGGTGTTGTATCACTTTATGGTCTAATTCAGTGCTTTCAAAGACATTTTTAAGGCCTCATGAAAAATTATTTGAAACTCCAAAAATGTTGAAACAATTTGTGCACACTTTCTCTTCATGTTGCAGACTGAAAATACAGTCTGAACATTACTGTTTCATCAGTAGCCACATGTTAAAGCTACTAAAGCTCTACAGAAACACACTTGTGCTGCATACCTTTCTTCTTTACAGCAGCTTTAGGTTTTGCTTTGATAACAGGTGCTAGAAAAAAACATTCATGGCTCTATTGATTCTAATGTATACAGTTCAGTTAGAGAGTAAATTACTGCTGCAAAACTACAATGTGATTGAAAATACATTGTGCAATAAATTACAACACAAAAGAAACACAAACCTTTTTTGGGAGACACTGGCTCGGCCCTCCTCTTTTTGGGAACCTCAACTTTAAAAGCAAAAAATAAAAACAAAAATATCAGTCAAGCCAAGGGGCTTACATCATTTTTAAAATCAAATTCAGTGCTTTGTAAGATGTTTTTTAGACCTCAATAAATATCATACCAGACCCCAAAAAATGTGATACATGTTGCAGACTCATTACAAGGTTTACTATGAAAATAGAGACTTCTCCATATTCACTAAAGTTATTAGGCATGATCTGAAGTATATACAAAATGAAACACCTGATGGCAGGGCAGAGACTGTACATTATAAAAATGGGATATGTTTTGAGACATGTTGAATATGCAGTCATAAAGTACATGTATCCCACTATAAGTTTTGTGTGGAAAGAAGAAACTTCTCCATATTCACCAAGGGTATCATGGACTTTCCATGTCCAGATATGATCTCAAAGGTACCCTTGATGCGTTGGATGTTGACGTTCTATGACACCATGTCAAGTTATGTCTGTTACATGCATTGTCTTCTTTCAAATTTAACGTTTTCATGGAGTCTCTTTCAAAATAAATGCACTACATTGGTAAAACACAGCAAAATGATGTTTTTTTTGCCTTCAACAACTAACCCACATGGTTGGATTAGGCAACAAAAACACGTGGTAGGGTTTAGGAAAAAAGAACAGGGTTTGGCTTTACAATCTTATGGGACATGAACACTGCTCTCCTGGGTGGAAATCGGTGTTTGTTGGACCCATCCACCACCCCTCCCACCTGACCTACTTGGGCTGTCTTCCCCTTAACTTTCATTCATTTCCCGCCACATATCCCCCTGATGTCTCCGAGCACCATGAAACTATGACTGCAACCGGCCGTTTGTCATGCTGACGTTAAAGGACGGCTTTTTTGTCAGTGTCTAACGTTGCAAGTCACTGCCCAAGTGCTGTATTTCAACGACTTTGGAGTAAGGCCATGTTGTTTTTGGGCATGTATCTCCACAGCACTCAGGTGAGGTCAGGTAGCAACTAGGTGCCAGATCATAAGCAGCAGGCATCCAAGAGATGCAGTGCTGAAGACAACGCAAATATAGCAATGCAAAACACCAAATGAGAGCGAATCTGATGTTGGCTTTTACCTTTAAGGAGTAAGCATATTTAGCAGTTAGCATCATGAATAATGAAGGCATATTGTAGTGGGGAGATGAAAAGGGTCTAATGAGATCTATGTTTTAAAGACAATATTAGAGGAACAGTAGTTTTAAATTTTGGTCTACTCTTGATTCTTTATATTTTCGAGATTGCCTATTGTTTGTGATCTTACACACTGTATCTTAACGTTAGCATATGGTAATAAGTGTGGCCTGTTATTTACCTGTTTTTGTGACATTCATGTGTTCCTTTTTCAGGTCAGGAACTATATGCTTTTTTGCTTTCAGTGCCTTTACTGCCTTCTTGGGCTCTTCAGCTGTAATGAACAGCAGAAAAACAAAGTTTGATTTCAATACAATTTTTGTGGGAATTTATGTAAGCAGAAATGTAAACATGGGTTGCTTTAAGCCATTTGAACAAGTAGCCAATTATGTCTTTTTGTTCCATTGACTGGGTTTAAGCTGAGTTAGTGCAAAATTCATCAAATGCTAATTAAGAAAATAATGTCACTGTGACATGTTCTTTGTACGTGCTGTGTTATCTCACCTGCTTTTGTAACATTCAGATGTTCCCTCTTCAGGACAGGCGCAACCTTCTTCTTGACTACTCTCACCCTCCTTGCAGCCTTTTTGGGTGCAGCATCTTAAATAAAAAGGCAAAGCTGATCAGTTAACAAGCTAAACTAAGATGGTGAGCATAGTGAACATGCTAGCATTGTCATAGCATGGCTGCAGGTGCTTACTGTTGATAACTGACAAGGTAGGGATAGTCAGTGGATCCTTGTGTAAAAACATTGCAATGCTGGCCTACGCCTACCTGTCGTAGTATCCTTTTTCTTGACAGGCTCTTTGTCTTTTTGAATCTTCTTGATTTCTTTCTCTTCTTTAGAGGGTTTTGTTGGTTCTTTCTTGGAGATTGTCTTTAGTTCTTTTTCTTCTTTGGGAATCACCTTGACCTCTTTCTTTTCTTTGGAAGGTTTCTCTGGTTCTTGCTTTTCTTTGGAGGGCTTCTTTGGTACTGCCCTTTCTTTGGAACGCCTCTCTTGTTTTCCCTCCTCTTTCACCACTTTAGAAGGCTTGACTGGTTGTTTCTTCTCTTTGGAGATCTTTTCTGGTTCTTCTTTTACAGGCTTTGTTACTTTCTCTTCTTTAAGAGTCTTCTTGACTTCTTTCTCCTCTTTAGGTGGTTTCTTGACTTCTTTCTCTTCTTTGAGAGGTTTTTTGACTTCTTTCTCCTCTTTAGGTGGTTTTTTGACTTCTCTCTCTTCTTTGAGAGGTTTCTTGACTTCTCTCTCTTCTTTGAGAGGTTTCTTGATTTCTTTCTCTTCTTTGAGAGGCTTCTTGACTTCTTTTTCTTCCTTGAGAGGTTTCTTGACTTCCTTCTCTTCTTTGGGTGGTTTCTTGACTTCTTTCTGTTCTTTGAGAGGTTTCTTGACTTCTTTATCTTCTTTGAGAGGTTTCTTGACTTCTTTCTCTTCTTTGAGAGGTTTCTTGACCTCCTTCTCTTCTTTGAGGGGTTTCTTGACTTCCCTCTCTTTTTTGACAAGTTTCTTGACTTCTTTCTCTTTTGTGACAGGTTTCTTGACTTCCTTCTTTTCTTTGAGAGGTTTCTTGACTTTTTCCTCCTCTTTGAGTGTTATCTTGACTTCTTTCTCTTCTTTGGTTGGTTTCTTTGGCTCTTCCTTCTTTATAGGCTCTTCTTCTAAAAGCAACCATCAAAGTGTCAGTTTTCCCTGCACTTACCATGTAGATAATAAAATACATTTATGTGGCAAAGCACTTTCCATAGAAATAACTGAAGCTGGTCAAAGTACCCTGTGCCCTTTGTGTACAAGTTGGAAGGTTACCAATACTGAAACATACACTGACTGACTACTTTATTAGGTACACCTTGCTAGTACCAGGTTGGACCCCCCTTTGCCTTCTGAACTGCCTTAACTCCTTATGGCATGGATTCAACAAGGTGCTGGAAACATTCCTCAGAGATTTGGGTCCATATTGACATGATAGCATCATGCAGTTGCTGCAGATTTGTCGACTGCACATCCATGATGCGACTCTCCCATTTCATTGTATCCCAAAGGTGCTCTATTGGATTGAGATCTGGTGACTGTGGAGGCTGTTGAAGTACAGTGAACTCATTGTCATGTTCAAGAAACCAGTTTGAGATGATCTGAGCTTTGTGACATGGTGTGTTATCCTGCTGGAAGTAGCCATCATAAGATGGGTACACTGTGGTCATAAAGGGATGGACACGGTCAGCAACAATACTCAGGTAGGCTGTGGCATTTAAATGATGCTCAGTTGGTACTAAGGGGCCCAAAGTGTGCCAAGAAAATATCCCCCACACCATTACACCACCACCGCCAGCCTAAACCGTTGATACAAGGCAGGATGGATCCATGTTTTCATGTTGTTTATGCCAAATTCAGACCAAGCAACATTTTTCCAATCTTCTTTTGTCCAATTTTGGTGAGCCTGTGCGAATTGTAGCCACAGTTTCCTGTTCTTAGCTGACAAGTGTTCCCTGGCGTGGTCTTCTGCTGTTGTAGCCCATCTGCTTCAAGGTTCAATTTGTTGTTCATTCAGAGATGGTCTCCTGCATACATTGGTTGTGACAAGCAGTTATTCGGGTTGAGCTTGAGTTGCATTTCTATCATCTTGAACCAGTCTGGCCATTCTCCTCTGACCTCTGACATTAACAGAGCATTTTCACCTAGAGAACTGCTGCTCACTGGACATTTTCTCTTTTTTGGACCATCCTCCTTAAACCTTAGAGATGGTTGTGCGTGAAAATCCCAGTAGATCAGCAATTTCTGAAATACCCAGCCCGTCTGGCACCAATGACCATGCCACGTTCAAAGTCATTTAACTCACCTTTCTTTCCCATTCTGATGCTCGGTTTAAACTTCAGCAGGTCGTCTTGACCATGTCTACATGCCTAAATGGTTTGAGTTGCTGCCATGTGATTGGCTGATTAGCTATTTGTGTTAACAAGCAGTTGAACAGGTGTACCTAATAAAGAGGCAAGTGAATGTAATTTGTTTCGAGAAATATAGTCGTATACAGTACACCTGCTTTTCATGTTAACCACTGTAATTAGTATGTAATAATAGTGGGAAAAAGTCATATGCAGGAGAAAAAAAAACAAAACAAAACTATATCAACATTAGGTTGTGAACTTTGGTACATACTCCACATAAAGTTTCAGTCTTGTTTTTACTTTTTCACATGTACTTTTAAACAATATTTTACTTTTATCATTAAGTGTAATTACCTTTGGGCTTTGGCAGTTTCTTCTCCAGGGGTTTGGCCTCCTCCTTTACTTTTTCTTCTTTTAGTTCTGTTAGCAACAGTAAATCATAAGCAGAACTATCAGGTGCTTGTGTGTGTGGAGTGCTTTATTGTTTTGACTAAATTATACCAAATCAATACATTTAATTACAACATTAAGAAATATAAATTGAATGTTGGAAGTGAGCAAAGTGAAGAGGGTGCATAACTTTAAGAGTATTACCTTTAATAATGGCATCTTTAACTTCTTTTATTGCATGTCTTTCCTTTGCCTCTTTGAGAACTAAATTATATCATGCAGAAATATGTAAAAAAAAAAAAAAAAAATAGCAGATAACAGTGCAATTCTGACCAGTAATCAGAGTGTGATATTGTTATCATGACAAATAACCATGCTTGCATAAGCACTATAAGCACTACATTGCTAAAAACACTATGATCAAAAACACACCCCGAGCTAAATGGTGTTATATTGTTAAAACAATCTGTCCTGACCGGATTTTCATTCCAACAAAAAGTATCATCTGTCCAATGTCTTTCTGTCATCACATTGCTATGTCTACAATGAAGTGATCATTTGGTAATCATTTTTTATTGATACATAATTCACTCTGGAGGGAAGATCATACAGTACATCAGAATGCTGATTCATGTCCTCATCCAGAAATCTATTCATGTTTTTCTTAGCCTGTTAGCTCCATCTAGCTGCCCTTTTCTCTATTGGCTCACTGGCAGTGACCATTGGGTCTAAAGCAGGAACAAATAAGTACACAATTTGCACCTTGGAAAATAGATTTGTCTTTGCTGATTCATCAGAGGGAGCATGCAGGTTAAACGAGCTCGAAATCGCAGACCCTGTACTGTATTAGTCCGGAGATCTTCTTTCCGTGCAGCTATAATGAGAATGAGTTTCTGATCTATATAAAACCTGATTTAATCTTGCTATTTCCATCTTTGCCTTTCAGTTAAAACTGTACTGACAATTTATCTCTTAAAGAAACACACCAGCATATGAGTAAATGTGCCCATCTTTCCTGTAGTCAGATGAGAAGATCAATATTAGTTACATCCCTGTAAGTCCAGTAAATAGATTGGTCAAGCACAAAGTTATTTTTCCTAGAATGAGGAATAGAAAATATCTACAGAGATATATATGGTAAAGGTGACCTTGTTTTCCACAAGTAAGTGGGGTATATTATGATCCGAGAGCTATGTGAGCCCGAACACCTGCGACTGTCCAGACTGAACTCAAAGCTAAATTTAGAGGCTACAGTGTAGTACAGTCAATGCAAAGACATCACTTGACTTTAGCAGGCCTGTGTGAGCAACATAAATTGAAGTTAAGACATGTCCAGGTGAGTTCCTTAGCTCAACTGCGGCCTACAACTTGAGACCTATTATTTTTGGCCTATATTTGTTTACAATTTGGCAATTTGGCATTTTTAAAAGTATGCAGAATAAGCTGTTAGCAGTTCCTGTTTGCAATGTACCCATGGATACACAGACAACTATAACTGAATTACTTTTTTAGTGAAGAAAACTTGAAAGCATAAGCATTAAAAAGGGGTCCTCAGAGTTAGTGGAGTGCTGCAGGGATGATGTTTTTCCGTAAGCTAACACAGAAGTTAGCATCACACTGGTTCCCTCCCTGAAACCCATTTAAAAACCCATTGACTTCAAGACAAGGGCACAGGAGCTTACAAAAATGCTAACTTGTTTAGGACTTATATCTGGGGCACTCTGCAAGGGGGGCGCCAAATTACTGTTTGACAGTTTAAGTTCTTTTTCTTTTCCAACAATTAAAAAATGTCTGAAAATACACAATAAATATATCAACCTATTCATTAAAACCAAACATTTACTTTACAGTAACGTTACACAACATGATAGGCTAACGGCTGAATCCATTCCTTGCGCATTCATGCAAGCTAGCTAACGCTAAATCACTGTGCGGCAAGGTGAACCAGTTAGCTAAAATTAGCTACTATTGAAACATATTGGTCACTTAGCTGTATTATTTTTCCAAGTGTATGGACATTCTTATGAGCTAAAATGAATTGTTTTGTAACTTTTCAAGCAAGTGACTCTGACTTACCAAAAGCAAAAACGTAGAGAGTGAAGCTAACGCACCTAGCCATGCGACACCTGCTGCTAACTCAGCAGCTGCAGGCAAGCTCAAGCGAGAGAAAACCCAAAAATATTCAGAGGATTAACTCAGGTTTATACAATGTACTCCGTCTCTCTTTAAGCTATGGGGTCCTTGGCTTGTTGAACACTCAGTTGAATACCCTTGTTATAAGGCATGTTCTGCATGTGACTCTTTGTTGCTGCAGTTTAGCTAGTTCGTTAGCTAGAATTCATCCTGTTTGTCTTCTCTGATTCTGGGTAAAACAACAAAATATAGTATATCCTAAAATGTTGGAATATTTCTCTAATCTATAAACCTTGATGATTAACAACACACAAAACAAATGAACACACAACATAAAGCACTGAAATGAAAATCTGAAATATGTTACATCAATCGTCATTGAACAGGTATCTGTCAGGCTCTATTAAGTTTAGTCATGTCTCAACCGACAGGTCAAAGAGCATTCAACATGGCCGTGAAAATATGTTAAGAAAATGTAAAGGTGACACATTACATTTATCATTAACACATTCACCATTCAGAAACATGTTCATTACCCGATAATGAAAAACAGGATGAAAACTATGTGATGATGATGATGACGGTGGGAGTGCTGTACCTTTCTCATGCTCGCCAAGGTGTTCTCTGTGAGCTCTGGATCCGGCTCTCCTGAGCTTCTCAAAGGGAATACGAAACTTCCGCTTTCGTTTGTGTTCAGTTTTCCCGCTTTGACTGTTGTTGTTGTTTTCATCATGATCAACAATGATGTCAGAGTATTCGTCATCTTCGGGAATACTTGTTTCTTCGTCTTCCTCATCGTCAGGTTCAGGCACTACACTGGCATTATCAGGTTTTTCAGCTGACAGAATTTTTACATCAAGTTGTTGGACAGGTGGCTCTTCATCTTCATTGTCATCATCATCATCCACCTCTGTCGTCTCAACTTTGTCCCGTTTTTCTCCTTCGTCCTCCTCTTCTGGAGTCTCATCATCGTCCAGATCTAAAGTTTGATCGTCCTGGTCGGTTTTAACAAACTGGTCTTTGACATCAGTGTCAGTTATTCCAATGTTTTCTTCATCAACATGAAGATCTTCATCTTCAGTCTCCTCCTCCTCAGCCTCTTCTTCTGTTTTTGTGTCCTCCTCTTTATCTTCTACCAGAACTTGTTCAGTTTTTGGCTCCTCCTCTTCCTCCTCCTTAGCTCCCACCAAATCTTCTTCAGTTTGGATCTCCTCCTCTTCCTCTTCCACCACAAGTTCTGATTTTGTCTCCTCCTCCTCCTCTTCTACTGCTTCTTCTTCTTCAGTTTTTGTCTCCTCCTCCTCCTCCTCATCTGCTACTGCGTCCCCTTCAGTTTTAGTCTCCTCCTCATCATCATCATCTTCTGCCGTGTCCCCTTCAGTTTTTGTCTCCTCCTCCTCCTCCTCCTCCTCCTCCTCATCTTCTACTGTGTCCCCTTCAGTTTTTGTCTCCTCCTCCTCCTCCTCCTCCTCCTCATCTTCTACTGTGTCCCCTTCAGTTTTTGTCTCCTCCTCCTCCTCCTCCTCCTCCTCATCAGCATCTTCTACTGTGTCCCCTTCAGTTTTTGTCTCCTCCTCTTCCTCCCCATCTTCCACCAACGCTTCTTCAGCTTTGGTCTCCTCCTCCTCCTCTACCAAATCTTCCATTGTGGCCTCCCCTTCCTCCTCCTTCTCTTTTACAGCATCTTCTTCTGTTGTTGTTTCCTCCTCGTCCCTTTCAACCAAAACTTCTTCAGCTTTGGTCTCCTCTTCTTCAGTATCTGGTTTAATATCTCCCTCTTCCTGTTCTTCTTCGTCATCATTTTGTTTTAATTCCTCCTCCTCTTCTGTACCAACGCTTTTCTTATCTTCTTTTACCTCCTCCTCCTGGTGTGCTGTACCCTCCTCTGTTTTAATTTCCTCTTCCTCAGTATCAGTCTCCTTTTCTTCATCTTCCAGTGATGGCTCACGTTCAGCCTCCTCGGCGTCAACATGTTTCACTAGTGATGTGATAGTGACAAATTTAGTGTCTGTTACTGATCCTGTATCTGACTAATTAATGTGACTACTAAAGAAAAACCGAAGGAATACCATCATCATCCTCTGCCTCTGTCACATCTTCTTCACTGGTGGCTTCAATAGGAACTTCGGCCTCCTCCTCCTCCTCAGTCTTTAACTGTGCTGCAGCAGCAGCAGCTTCATCTCTGGCAGCTTGCATGATCTCTGCAACTGTATCATCAACCCATGTGACCTTTCTTATCTGACCTTCTCATCTTTTACACGGACACGCAGCCCCAAACTTATTTTCAGGTACGGAAGAATTTGATGGGGTGAAATGGGAACAATGACCACTCATAACATTATATACTGGAGTACACACCACGTGCTGCAGTTCATGACCCTCCCCATTTGCTTAAAGAGCTGTATACAACATTCACAGTCTGGGACACTTTGTCTGCACACAGATCAACATGAGGTGGCTGAGACATCAGCTAACAGTGCTAACTCAAAAAGTGCTAACAATGGTAACAGTGCTTACAGAGCTAACATGGTTAACCTGGGGGGAAACTAGAGAGCTTGATTTGCTTCCATCATATGAGCACAGTGCAGAACAGCAGTGACATTACACAGAGAAGCTCAGAGTAGAGCACACACAGTGGCAGTGTGACTTCATGAAGCCATTACTCCACTATATCTTTACAGAGCAAATAGTTGTTTGCAACCATAAAAATGTTCTGAATGTTGTACACAGCTCCTTTAAAATGAGCTTACCGCAAACAAATCTTAGGAAATGACCAAAAACAAAAATGCAAGAGTTCATCCCTCTTACTGAAGTTGTAAATCTTAAATTAAAAAAGAAAAGAAACACAATGTATCATGCATGTACAGTTTAATTTTTTAAAAAAGGTTGGTAGCTTAAAAAAACTTACAGCTTGGCACTGTGCTTTTTAACAAGCTTCATTCTGACAGTGGTAAATAATGGATTTAATGGGGACTATTTTCAGCAGCATATTACTACACATTTCTTGGTCTAGTGAGTATTTACAGCAGCAGAACAGTGTATATTGCACAATACATAGACATAAAATAAACAAAATGTGCATCAACAGTGGAGGTCTCTGGTATATTTATAGGATACTAAATTAATCAATCACTAATGGCACATGTACATGATCAAGTTTTCTAAAAATTCTATAAATAAGCTACTACTGAACATCAGATATTCATTATGAATGGAAAGAGGGTCAAGTTGTAGGTTGTTTGTAGCTTCAGTGTTACTAGGCTAGCAACTTTCTTAAAGTCTGTGAAGTCTTTAAGTTTGTGAAAAACGTGGAACTCAACATCCCTGGTCTTTGGTGCAGGCAAATAAAATATATCAGGCTTTGGCTACACAGACAAAGACTTGCTGGCTGGATTAATTCATTTTTGGTTTTAGTCTTTTCATGGGATTTGTTTATGAAAAGAGAAATACGGAACACTGACCAACTTCAGGCCTTCACACACCAGATGCATTTTCTTTTTCCATGCTATTAATCTGCCTGTCAAAATATTTTTTTGAACTTTTGTGTCTGTCTTAAGTACTTTCACATAAAATGAAAATATTAAGCAGTCACTTCTATTGGAACAAGGTCAATTTTTCTCAGTGTTCGCCCCGCAAATACAGGAATCAACAAATCTGTTACCACAAATTCACATCGTTGCCAGAATATATCATTTTGATGCACAATATTTACAGGCAAGTATTTAATATTTGTGTGTTGTTTTTTTATCACGCCCTCGGTGTGTAAAGGCCTTTACTCTCTTTCCTGCCATCACCATTCCCCAAAATTTTACCACTCAAAATGACTACAGTCATTAATATTCCAAAGGCTAACTTCTGAAACACGTGGAGTGCACTTGAATGACTCCATGCAAAGATAAAATGTAATATTCCACACAGTAACACGTCATTCAATACAAACAATCCAGAGACATACAAACACAGACACAGAATATCACAGATGTTTAAATGGATGAAATACAGGTGGCAGTTGGTCAATCAGAGGAATGCAACTCCAAAGGACACATATTAAAGACAAATTTTCATGCTCAGTATGACATAGAAATATATATATATATATTTTTAAAAACATATAGAACAAAACAAATACTGGAACATGAATGGAAAAACACATGAATGCAGAGTTCCAAGAAATGTAACATCCCACAAACGGGCAGTGTGACAAACAGAGGGAGATGCAGTCACTTCATCCTTACATAGAAATTTACAGTGGAAGTACACAATGGTTATGCGGCATATCTGTTAAAGTGCAAATGGAGTTTGTTTAAACAAGACTGACATACAGTTTCATTGTACTTCAGGCTAAGTGTACTACACTCAACAGAGCAGACCAGGTCATACAAAGAAGAATGAAAAACAAAAATCAATGCAAGCGTGCATGAAAGGCGACTAGCTGCTGGCAGCACACACTGCACATGTCTATAAATAAACATTACAGTGCAGTTCTGCTGTAAATGGTGGTGTTTTCTTACCTTTTTCAAATGGTGGCAGAAATTCACCTACATTTCAAAGAAAGAGTGGTAATAAGAGACAATTAGCTTCATTTTTGACACATGATTTTAGTGTTACAGCAAAGAAAATGGAGTAAAAATATTATCATTGCTTACCTTTCCTTCGTACCAGAGGTATATCAGCTGGGGGAGCTACAGTTTCATCTAAACAAAGAAAATCAGAATCAGATGTGTTTTGCAGGTAAGATGCTTTTAGGTAAATTAAAACTACTAAAAAGTGAAACCTTTTTCAGTTACAACATTTACAACTGGAGGAGCAACAGGTTCACCTGAAACAAGAAAGAAAAAATGATGATATATGCATCAAAGTACGCATTTATGAATCTTTTAGTAAAGTTTATGTTATTATTGTATATAACTGATGCAAACCAGCATACCTTGTTCACCAACAAGCATACTGGACATGTAGGCCACGAACAAATCTTTCTTGTCTGTGAACTCCAACACAGCGTCTTCCACAACTTTCATGGGGTCAATGGACACTTCAGGTAAGATCCCTAAATATCAGAACACCACAGAGTCAGTGAAAGCTGGTGTTAATAATACAAAGAAAGTAGTTACAGTAAATGTAAACACAATAATATTCCAGCATAACATTTATATGTCGTTATATGTTAGAACAGACCTTGGTCACCAGTCAGCGTTGTGGAGATGTAGCTCACGAGCATGTTAATCTGTTCTGTGGTGATTTCTGCTGTTCTCTTCAGAGCTGACATAGGGCTGAATCCCACAGCGTTCTGGATATCTGATCAGCAGACAGGTCAAAGTGAAAACTGCTGTTAGCAGGCTACAGTAGAGCATACATAGTAGTGGTAGATCAACATTACAGAGGATTATTAGGTCCAGGCATAGGGACAAAAATTGAAACGACAGAGATTTAAAAAAGAAATCACATCACAAGAAGCCAAATGGCAAGAGTAAAATCATCTCCTCTGGTCATCAAATTGTGACTTGTGACAAAATATATCCTCTATTTATTGCACGCAGGTGTAACCATCTTGCATCGTCCATTACCAGCTAGTTAAGTTTGCACAAATGCGGCCACCTCATCCAAGATTGTGTTATTTCTCCTTCTGGACAGACGCAGTTTTCGGCACAATCTCTCAAAAGTTATGATAGCGTGCTAATTAGCACACTGTGTTTATGGGCTAATAAAGAAATCCTTTTGTTGTTACTATCACCAATTCATCTACACTAGATATTTTGTGGAGGCAGCTATATGCACTGACGCTAATAGTCTGATTTATTCTCAAACGTTCGACTGTAACAATATAACTTTATTCTCGAAATGCAAGAAAAAAAATCTTCCTTCTCTGACTTATCATTTCTTATGCCTGGCACTAAGACTAAAGTTTGACTTCATTCTTAAACATTTCAACTTAATTCTTGACATTTCAACTTAATCGTAGATATTTTCAGCTTTAATTTAGACAATTTTACTTAGTCCTCAACATCTTCACTTTATTCTCGACATTTCAACTTCATTCTCGTAATACAAAATTTTGAAAAATCTTTTTTTCCTTATGCTTGGCCCCAATACTCCTCAGTACATACATAGATTAGATAAAGGTTAGAATACTGTACCTTTTATTGTGTCCAGTATTACATCAAAGATGGTACAGAAAACATTCTGGATGTATCCTGCTATCCCACTCACAAAGTCGTTAATAGTACTGAAGGCATTTCTGCCAACAACCGCAGGGTCAATGAAGCTAATGTCAGTGGTTCCTGAGAAGAGCAAACATTCAAGCCAACAAATTATTATTATTATTGTTGTTGTTATTATTATTATTATTATTATTATTATTACGTTATATGGACATTTTAAAAGACCCCATTAGACAACTAGGACAACATATTGGCCAGTAGTGAATAATTGTCAATACAAAAAGTCCTGTTATAAACTCACAACAAACACAAGCTAAGAGTTATGGGGAATAATGTTGATTTAGTCATAAACTTAGGCAACAAATAAGGATTCAACAACACAGGCGTGGAATACAAAGGTTAAAATATGACACAGGTACCTTTGGTTATTTCCAGTATACTGTCTATGATGCCACAGAGCACGTCCCGGATGGAGCCCACTATTCCATTGACATACTCATTAGTGGTACTGAAGGCACTTCTGCCAACTACCACAGGGTCCATGTAGCTGATATCCACAGCTCCTGAGAAGGACAAATAGAAATCAAATAAGGATGCATGTATAAAAACAATACTGTAGGCTGTGTTTTAATTTGTTAAGAGGTACAGATTAGAAAGATATAACACAAGTAGAGTAAATACCTTTCACTACATCCAGAAATGTGTCCAAAATGGCACAAAGCACACCCTGGATGTAGCGCCCCACTCCACACATGTACTCATTTGTAACACTGAAGACATTTCTGCCTATGACCACAGGGTCTATGTAGCTAAGGTCAACTTTTCCTGAGAAAAACAAGGACATTTATGGGGGGAAATCATTTTATTAACATTAACTTTAACATTAACATTAACACAAGTATTACTGAAATACAGTGTTACTTGCATTAGTCTTTTTCTTCTCAGGTTAGTAAGGCAATTATCACATTATTTGCTTGTTAGTAAAAAAGGGGGAGGCAGACAAATTCCTTAATAAGAAATAAGCAATAAAATATGGGATACATACCTTTATTTATACCCGATATAGTGTCCAATACAGTGTCCACTATAGCACACAGTCTGTCCCTGAAGGTGCCCACAACTCCACCCATGAAGTCATTCGTTGAATGGAAAGCTTGTCTCCCAATGACCACAGGGTCCACATAGCTGAGGTAGAAGTTCCCTGTGGGTTTGGGAGTAGATTATTAGAGTCATGGTTACATCACATGTATGCTAAAATTTTTGTGTGTGTTTTCATACCTTCCTCATCTGAAAAATATCGAACAACTCCATCTTTTGCTTCCGATATTTCCTCTGCTGCGTAGGTGGCAACGGACATGGGGTCACTTAAATCAGGTGCACATTCTAAGGGGGGCAGAAATATGAGAGTCATATATTACAATACTTACTTCAACACTTTTAAAAAGGTGACATGCATTCGGTCTCTCGTACATACCTTGAAACTTATTGAACAGACTGGATACTTCATCAACAGCGTCGTTCACAGCTTGCACGGGGTCGGTAACAATTTGCTGAATGTCTTGAGAATAATAACAGATAATATGATGATAAGAATGTCTGATTAAATGAAATTCCAATAAAGAGACATTTTTAAAACATTTTATGGTATTTGTGACTAACCGGGGACGGCCTTGTACTCCACAAAGTCAAACATCACCACTCCCACCACCAGCCAGGACAGGAGAGCAGCCAGGGCAATCAGCAGCTCTGCAGACACTTTGAGCTTCCTGAGGAACCCCAGACCTGCGGACTTGAGCGAGCTCGGCTGTGCTGCAGCTGCTGCATTGGACCCACCGGCTGCGGAGGAGGCTCCTTACGTGAACAAATAAAAGACAGTAAATTCACTCTGAGAACAGTCCTGTGGGGATTCAACCTTTGGCGCTTAGTTTGACCATTGCCTCTGCTACACTGGAACAAGTGTTATTTTTGAGTTTCTAATGTATTCTTACATATTTAATTTGTTCTTTTACAGTCAGACTCAATTCACATAGTATATAACGTTGCACAGTGGCACGCAGGTTAAATATGATCACAGTTTCAAAGAGGCTACGTTCGTAAGTGCTATGGGAACGTGCTGTGTACAGGTATTTTTTGCTCTTTTTCAGTGTTCCTTGCATGCCCTACGCCTTTAATGTGATGCCAGGGATCAGCACGCCCAGGACCCCTGCCTGCCACCCAGCACACAATGCACCAGACCCTGATACCTATCCCTGTGGGTGGTGGGCCCACAGGGCGATGGCTCCATACTATTTATTCGGGCTGAGCCCAGTGGAGCCCCATGACCCAAGGCACGGCCTGCATCCCTGACTAGGATGCCAAGGTGCCTCCTGTTGGAGGTGTTCTGGACACGTCCAACTCGTACACCCAGAACACACTGGAGGGATTACATATCTCATCTGGCCTGGGAACGCCTTGGGATCCCCCAGGAGGAGCTGGAAAGCATTGCTGGGTAGAGGGATGTCTGGGGTGCTTTGTTTGGCCTGCTGCCCCCGTGATCCGGTCCCAGATAAATTGGTGAAAATGGATGGACGGACCTTCAATGCATGGATGGATGTGCAAGGGCCTTTTTAAAAATACTAGAACCTGACCAGTAAATCGACATGACCAATATATCCAGATTGCAAATATTTCAGCATGTGCATGTATGACTTCACTGAAGTGTGTCAGAGGGCTGACACATTATTTTTGTTTTTTTAATCGTAAAATGTTGCACTACATATCTTGGTCACAGTTCTTTAATTATTACATTAAACAGACCCTTCAAAAATGTTTGTTTATGTCATATGTATCTGTACAAACAAAATAATATTGGCTAATTGTTTTTAATTGATTTATTATACTTTTAAAAGTTGATATAAGTATTGACAGGGTCTTTAGAGTGGAGGATCTTGTGTGTTTTGTTCGCTTAAATAAGCAAATAAGATCAGTAAAAGTTCGAAAAAAACATCATTAGTTATTACACGTAGAGAGTTTAAGACTCAATAACTCATCTAAACAGCTTCATCAGGACTGTTTGGATGTGTTTCGATCACACGGACTGGATTGACAGTGGTCTTGAATCATACGCAAACTCTAAATGGAGCACAACCAACTTCAGTTCAGTAAGAAATGCAAGGACAAAAACACAAACACAGAAATCTCTTAGGTAAAAAACTATACAAAACTTCTCAAAGTTCTCACACTTAATGGAAAACAGTGTTTTCATGCAGACCTGTGTTGCACAGAGTAGAAAGTCAGTTAAGAAATTAGGTTTTTAGGACCTCTGAGTGACGACGTGGTTTAGCAACTGATTAACCACAGTGATTTTTTTTTTTTTAATCTTGAATATTACTTTGTCAAGATATTACCTTGTAAAAAACAAACTAAGAATATCCACTAGCTTTAAAAATCTATAGTTATCCCATCTATTCAGAGCTAGCAACAACGTATAACATTAACACGGTAACATGGTTTAGTCAAATCTCTGAGTTTCCTGTAGCATGTTTGGGACGATAGTGCCCTTCCATAGCCACCTTTCCAGTCTCGTCACACTCATCCTCAACACACTGCAGCTAAGCCCCGACAGGTGAAAGATATTTCCTTTGTGCTCAAAAGGATTAAACTTTATACCACGGAGAGCGTATCTGTATTTCCATTTATCAAATGACAACCTGTCCACTGCATCAACACATAATATATGTGAACTATTGAGACTATATTTTGTCAGATTAAAGACCAGAAAAAACTGTAATCATGTGTCATTCTCATTTCATCAGATCCAAACATATACGCATATGATTCCCATCTGTTTAGTCCAGTGGAAAATTCATGTGATGGCATTTAGTGACATCCTCACCATCATCAACACACATACTTTCCAAAATGGACCTGGTGCCAAGGTGTTAGAGACACCTTCCAACTGTGAATGAACTCTTAGCATGCCTGACTCATGATTCACTTCCTCATATACAAATGCTGAGATATGAAAAAACTCAAAACAGTCCCTTCAGAATTATTCAGGACGGTCAGATGGTGTCAGTATTTTACCACAAATGTGCGCTGAGTTTAAATGACACCACTTGTTATTACTCAGTACATTCAAGTCCTGAAGCTTCATCAAACAAAACATTTGGTTGGAAAACTTGTTTGCTCAAAAACTAATGAGAAGTTCAGGCTTATTTTTAAATAGAAAAAGTTGCAAAGCAGAGGTCAGCCCCAGCAGCAGTCACGTCTGTCACAGGAGAGCAATGCTAATACTGGCTACATGATATCCTGTATTTATAGCAACCTACTTTCAACACATTTTCCTTAGAGGACGCACCCCATGAAAACACCACCATTAAGTTATTACAAAGCTATATGACTTAGGCTCTCTGTGGTGTAGCAGACAGTATATGTTGTTTATTTCAGTGTTGATGCAGGTGTAACAGTCCTACCTTCAGCCATGGTGATATGCAGACAATTTCAGTTATAGTCCTTTGAGTTGGGGGCAAAGCCTCCTCATGCAGAAGTGAATGGACAATCACAGCTTCAGTAGGAATCCAATCAGCATCCACGTATCTGTAAAAAGTGTCCAAGTCAATTGAATTATTCCATTTCCACTCTTGTTGTCTGATTTGTATAATCCTCAGGTTGGTCTTCTTGAAGATTTAACAAAAATGAAGAAAGATTTTCAGGTGTGGCAGAATTTGGAGCTGCCAATGCGGCAGCATTGCAGAGAGGGGTCTGGGGACGGTGGGGCAAAGGAAAGCAAGGCAGGGGAAGGAAAGAGCCAGGCTAAGCAGAGAGCCTGGGTAGGGTGAGGGGGGAACAGACAGAATATCCCACCCAGTGTTATTGGTGCCTCACATGGGTATAGGTCAGGGTACAGCACAGGGAGGCTTCAAGGTAACTTTATCCCCCAGAAGGTCCGGGTTATTCTTAGCTGGAGCCCTGCACACCAGCCGCTCTGGCAGGCCTTTTTTGGCGGTTGAAGGGTGTGTGTGTGAGATCAGTTGGCTGAATTGGGAGACCCTACTGGCGGGCCAGTTTAATCTGCCCACTAAACTGGAACAAATCAGGTGCTGAGGACGAGGAATGGACAACAACACAGGTGAAACTGAGCTTGTCACTAAACACCAGCAGCAAAAGTTATGTTCACAACACTTATTGCCTGGTATTCATGTGGGTGACTTCATATTTTTTATTAAGTTTTTCATTGCTCATCACTTTATTTTTGTGTTGTCACATTTGGTTATATGCAGCAGTTTCCAAAATTACAAATTACCTCACCAATGAACCAAAAAGAAAGGTCTAGCATTAGCATTTATCCTGTGATCCTTTTAGCAACCTGCAACAGGTGAATTCCTATATTACTCCTGTGAATATACATTCCTGAGACTGTTTACAAGGTAAATAAGTAAAAAATATTGATATAAGTAGAAAGAATGATCACATTTTCTCTTTAAAACTTAAAAAAACAAGACTACAGCTATGCTAGCTGCTCTGTGAGGTTGTGCTGTCACAGTGGTACTCTGAGCTAAATGCTACCATTAGTATGCTAACGTGCTCGCAATGACAATCTTAACTCGCTAATGCTAAGCAGCTACAATGTTAACCATCTTCAGCCCTGTCTCCTAAATCAAAATTTATATATAACTAATTTGGAACAGCATTTTGAGGGAAACATTATGTTGAGCAAACTAGTTTGCTATTGACATTATGAGGAAATGTTGCAAATTAACATCCCTGGCAAGTCACTGCTTAGCCTCCCAACAGGATAAGCAGATAAATGTACCTTTTGATGTTTGAAAGTTACAAATTAAAAGTTGAAGATAAAAATCTGGAGTTGTCTTTTTTTACTCTTTTTGTGCATGCTTAGTTCACGCAAATGGTTTATTTTTGGCAAAATTTTAAGTGAGACGTAGAATAAAGTGAATTTGATAAAATATCACTATTTTAAACTCAGATCTGGTTATGGGTTTTTACTGCCAGAGATGTTCGTCCCACATAATATGTTCGAGGACCGTCGGACATTTGAAAATCTAGTGGTAAGTTCTGTTTTTACAGTTTCTGGCTTTGATAAATGATGTAATTATGGTCATTTTTTTAAAGAAAACATTACTTCCAAACTGGTTTGAAAGACATGTTTTCTTAGCTTAATAGCACCAAACACAAAGTACAGGTGAATCTGATGGTTATGCAGGAACCTAAGTGACTGTAGGACAAAAGAAAAACAACCTTATGATGGGGCTAAGTGGAGAGTTAAGGCAAGGGTGTATAAATAGGCTCTATTTTACCAAATTTTCAAGCCTGTTCTCATCCCGAACTCATCAAATACTGCGCTTTGTCAGTGATTTCAGCATCAGATACTGACATGAAAAGGCACCTCTCATGGCGCCTGGTGGCTTATCATAACGCCAGAAAAGGTGCGTCAGTTTATAGTGCCATCAGCTTGAAACACTGCCAGTATAAGGGGCATTCTACCGAATGTGTGCAAAGTTAGGCTGGAAATATTTTGAAATTTTGTATGTTTTATTTCCAAAACTTTGTCCCTGTATATATTGTACCATATGTAAAGGTCACATTTCTAGTAAAATGACTGTAAATTTTTATATTGTATTTTCAGATTGTATTGGAATGTTTTTCCTCTCCCAAAATTTGTCACTACCGAAACATATAGTATTATATTATACAAAAAATATATATCCTATATCCAATAAATCCAATATCCAATAAATATATAACCTGTTATGCTTGTTCCTTCCCTTGTCTAAATATTTAATTTTTTTTACAAATTTTGACTGAAGGTTTTCACAATTAAATCTATAAAAATTAACAATATTTTAACAAATTTCAAAGTTCAAATTATAGAATTCTTCAAAATCTAAATGCAATCTTTCTTTGTAAACGAGTATACGTAATATAGGGGCTGGAAAGTCCCTGTGGGGTAGGTGGGAGGGGTGGTGCATGACACTGGTTGCCTCCCATGTCAATGTTGAGCCAAACCATTATGTCTTTTCTAAACCTAACCACTTGCTTTTGTTACCCAAGGAAATAAATATAAAAATAATTAGGTGTTTTACCTATGTAAGTTTATTTTGTATGAACCTGATGAGCAGAAACTGTAAATACCCCATGAAAACCCAAATGTATTTAGAAAGACACAATGCATGTAACAAGCATGAATTGATATAGTGTCCCAGATTGTCAGCAGATGCAGGAGGACACCTCGCGTGTCATATGTAGACGTTAAAGTCCACTGACAAAGTGGCAATATTTGATGAGTTGGGATGAGGACAATCTAGGCAATAGCTATCGAGAAATGTCAGTTAAGGCCACAAATGTCAACCCTTCTGGTGGCGCTAGAGAAAAAGTCAGGGGAACGCCAAAGTTGTTGGGATTCATCCTCTGAGGAGCATGAATTTCTGTTCAGAATTTCACAGGAATTAATTCTATAGTTGTTTATATATCACAGTCTGAACAAAAGTGGTGGATGTGTTGTGTTACAGACAAAAAGACTTTATTAAAACATCTTGAAAAACATTTGTACATTTTATTTAACATGAGCTTATATTCAGATTTTTAATTTCACACGTTGCACAATACTCAAAATAAAATCTACTAGAAACAAAACATCAGAGACATACATAAACGCAGATATGTCTTCACCACAGACTGTATAAAAGAAGTGGACATAGCCAACGTGATGTCAGTCATAAGCTTTTGGACTACTGTTTCAAAGCATCGAGGTTGGCATTAGGAGCAAGAAGTGACCACATTTGGACGAGAGAGCTGAGCTGAGGAGGATTCACGTTGCTACAGCTCTATTCTGATTGACTGGTCTCCATGGTAGCAACTTGACAATCACAAGGAACCATAATTTACAAATGGAACTTCATGCTGTATTGGAGTAGACTTGAACTTATTGATCTAGATCATAAATTCATTAGGAAAATGTTTACAGAGATTATAAATCAAGCCAGAAGTCGGGTCATTTTCTCATGGACTTGTATATTATCTGACTTCTTCTTGCAACCAGTGCAGTCGCCCCCTGCTGGCCATTATAAAGAACCCAAGTTTAAGGCACTTCCACATTGGTCTCACTTTTTAGAGTCGGAGACAACATCCGCTTCTTTAATAGAGTCTGAGGTCTTTTTACAGTGTAGTGGCAGCACTGGGGGTCACGGGCCTGATGATGAGGGTGAGCTCCAGAGGCACAGGAGGAGGAGCATATCTCTCCTCCCTGAGCAGCCGCAGTAACAAATCCTCAGTGTCCTGTGGCCAGCGGTAAATACGTGTGTTCTGAAGCCAACATGGGACGTGCATCTGTAAAGAGTATGCATATACATGTTTTAAAAGAGAGAAAAGGTGGAAAAATGTGTAACTTTAAAACCTGAGGTTATTAAACAAAAATCCTTTCAGACCTGGGATGCATTGAGGAAGAGAAGTGGTATAAATCTGAAATTCAAGCTGCCTTGCTGGATGAATTCACTCTGCATCTGGAAAAATAAGACGTTTAACATTTAAGCATTTTACCTGTAAGCAATTCAATTCAAATCATATCTCTTTTAAACAAATATGTTCTTACAATGGAGTGAATGTATTTAGTGTGTAGACCATGGCTGTCCACTACAGATCCTTCAATGTCTGCCTTGTACTTTGGACTGATGGCGATGATAATCAGGGTTGATGGCTGTCAAAAAAACAGAACACATTTTAGACACATTTACTGCCTGAAAAGTCAAATTTAACACACAAAACAACACAAAACATCCAATATTAAAGTACAAAGTCATGTTTAGTCTGATTTCGTCTTTTAAGTCATCACTGATTATCTGTTAATACCACTTTTAAACATTTCATGTGACAGTGTAAGCAGAGCAAATTAAATCTAGTAAAAACAGGTTGATTAAACTTACATCTTTCAGGTAACTGTCCTTCCACTTGTTGATATCCATGCGTCTGATGGGGTTGTCAAATATGTCAATCTGTGGAATTAATTAAGTAATTAATTAATTAATCAATGAGTGTTTTTGTTTTTATTCTAAATCTGGCTTTTCAGTGAAGAGGAAGGAGCTTACAGCTGGACGAAAACCTCGCTTCGTGAGGAAGTCTACAAACGGGACTATCTCTGAGGAAATGTCCGAAGAATAAGTTATAAAGACGTTTCCTGAGGAGAGGAGAGGAGAGGAGAGGAGAAAGAGATCAGAAAATCAAATTAATCTCAGAACTGATTCTTCTGTAGTTTTGTAGTTCCAAAAGACCTGTATGCTGTAAAGCCATGCAATAGAAGAGCTCTGCAGACATATATCTTAGCTAAACTGAATATGATTTATAGTTAAAATATTACATTTTTGTTAAGACTTTACTGCTTTGTTTGGAAGGTTTTGAAGAACACCTTATAATTTATGTAATCCAATACAACACCACAAACTAGGGCCTCACAAATCACCATTAACTTGAAACCTGAAACTCTCAACAACAACTCAGTAAGAAGTTGATCTGGATGTAAAGTGGTTTCTATTTTTCCAGCTTGAGACTTTAAGGCAAAAAACATACTTTCATATGCACTGTTCAGTTTTATGATTTTGCTTCCATAACATGTCTCTTTTCAGAGAAGTGGGAAGAAAACGTCAGAAATATACATTTAGGTGTTTATTTTAGTTCAAATTTCTGTTCTGGAAATGTACGCATAAAGCACATATTTAATTAGTGAATACCTCATTTGTGCATTTAAACATTAAAATTTTAGAAAACACATAATACAAAAAATAATTGTCTTACTGTAAATAATCAACAGGGGAAGTTTCATGGTGATATCTATCAGTTAAAATTTTTACCCTATTCATCTGTGGTGTCCTATA